TTGATACAAAATAAGGCTCATGGGTACTTTAACACCTTTTGCCACTACCAAACCACAAAAAATTGGACCACCTCTTTCCATACTTCCAGTGAATTAGAAGAGGAAAAGGGTGGTCTGCCTTGCTTGCTACTTGGTCGCCTCAGGTGGACAGTCAGGCTGGTTATTAGGGTGAGCTGCAGTGAAAGCTGGATGGCCTTCTAAATGTCTATCTACCCTTAAAATTGTTGGAAATGGTCTCAAATCAACATGAAACCTTCTGGCATTGAAAATTTGTGGCACCAAACAACAATCTGCTAATGTAATTTCATCTCCTACACAATATTTGCCTGCACTGGAAGACAACAATTTTTCTACAGCTGTAAAAGAAAGAATTTTAATAATTATTGATACTTCTATTTTTATAAATATAAGTTTATTGATTATAATGATATAATATTTCAATTTCCTATCTGTAATGTAAAAATTTAAATTGCCCACCTGTAAAACCTCTTGTTATCCAATGCTGTGCCCATTCCTTCTTACGTTCTTCCCCCACATATATTAGCACAACTAAATTCTGCAAAGGTTGTATACCGCTAGCTATTACTTCACAAATCTCTCTAACTCTAGCTCTTTTGACTGGATCAGCTGGCATCAATGGACGATGTGGTCTAGTCTCTTCCAGATATTGTAATATATTAAGCTAGAAAAAACAAATATAATCACTTATTAATTATTTAGATAATGTATTTCATTAATATATAATTTACATTATACTCACAGACTCTATCAATGTATGATTGTCAATATGAAGTGCAGGCACTTGTTCCATTGGATTTATTTCACGGAACTCATTACAATGTTGTTCTCCTCCACCTTTTACTAGGCTGACAGGTTTTATGTCATAAGGTATCTCTTTTAAATTTAATGCTATGAAGACAAAGATATGTAAGATACACTTAACTGATGAAACATTAAGATAACACATATTTTATAATATTCTTTTATCAATTTTATTAATATAATAAACAACGAAAGACAAAAATTTTAATGCACACAGATATACAATTCCAATATATTATTGCACGTATTTAAAGTATTATTTTAAAGTATTATATTAATTATATTAAATTAAAGAATATTATTTTTCTTACCAATTCTCACCCTCCAAGAACAGGAACTCCTCCAATAGGAATAGAGTACCGGCTATAATGGGGAAAAAAAAGAAAGAAATAAAAAAAAACAGATATTTTCTTTTTTTTTTTCTTTTATTATATTTACCGACCACGAACGATACCAGTTACCAATACATTTACACAAATGTTAACTCGAGGCCGATTGAGAGAGAGAGAGAAAAGAGAGAGAGAGAGAGAGAGAGAGAGAGAGAGAGAGAGAGAGAGAGAGAGAGAGAGAGAGAGAAAGCAAATTTATTCTGGAAAAAATGACTTAAGAAGATCATCGAACAAGGTCATCATATTTTAAAATATCAAAATAATTATCAAGAAAACAGACAACAAGTATAAATGAGTAAAATATCAAATTCTAATCAAGGAACGACATAACACAGGCCTTGAGCTACATAAAGAGGAAGGGAGTTGTGATCAAAGCGATCAGCGAGATATCTAAATTTTGAATAATTCGCTTACCTTACCCATGACGGACATCTCGTCGTACTGAGATGATAGGTATCGCCTTTTTTTCAAACGCTTTCTAGCCAGACGAGAAAAGACGCACCTTAGCTCTCGAATCTATCAGAAACAACTCGGAATCCGGTCAACGCGCGAAATCACTCCTCCTTCCCCCCTTTTATTCGATTGCCAAGCAACCCGTTCCACCGCCTTTGGGTGGTAGTGTGGGACTGTACGAGGTACCAAGCGTGAGCCAATCAACGATCACCTTTCCGATATGATATGGTACCATACGTCGTAAAACTGTTCGTAGCGCTTCGAAGCTGACGTATTCCGAAAACTAGATTTACATACATATATGATTTTTTCGAGCGATTCATTCGCATGCATAGATATTGTGAACCTTTAATAAATTTAATTTGATTTAAATTTAAGGAAAATCTACATTTTAAATAAACGCATATGTAATAATAAATAAAAAAGTTTTTTTCCCTTCGATCTTAAGAAAAACAATATTTCCAACAACGATCCAATCATATGCACCCATTTATCGATGAAAATATTTAAATGGAATAGTTCGAACTTATATCTCTTATTTATATTAAAAATTATGTTAGAATTTTCGGTTGAATGTTAAATTTTGTTTAATATTTATACATAAAATAACAGATTACTATCGGGAATATAATTTCACAAATTTATTTATTATTTAACCTTATATCTTTTAGTTTTAAAGTCTGTACGGATATTATTATCTTACATATAGTTATTCTAAATATTCGAAGTTATACTAAATTGATTTTTCGTTTAAAAATAAAAAAAATTTAATCATTTTAAAAATTTTTTTCCTAGTTTTAAATTCATTTAGCGATAATTTTAAATTATTCTAAAGTAACTTTAAAAAAAAAATTATTGATGTTCTATGATTTTGTCTACTTACTTGATTTTTTATGCTATGGAACCAGTTTTTCAAAAATCTTATCGTTTAAAGATATTACGTTATCATGCTTTAGTATTTAATCTATATTAACAATTCTATTATGAAAATACTTTTATTATATATTTTTACCGAAAAAAATACGGACATTCTATATTTTATATTTATAAATCTAATTTCATATTTCGTAACTCAAAAATATTATATAGGTATAACCCAATAATTACAATATTGATATAAAAGCGTAATATTTATTGAAACGTTAAAAATTTGCGTAGAAAATCATTTAATAAAAAATATATTTTCACATATATTGTAATTACTTTCCATTATAACTGAGTTTTTACATAGGGTTATTATTAGTTATATTATTTAAAATCTTAGACAATGATTAATTTTATAATTTTTATAATTACTGACATATATACTATATGATATCAAAATTAATGAAATATAAAAAAATGTTATACAATATACAGCAAACATGTATTATTATAATATATATATATATAATTGTTAAAATATAATTTTACAAGTTTCTTTACACACATACGAACCGCACTACACACACACACCACACACATACACACACACACACACACACACACACAATTATACATATACATACATATATACACACACTACTGAAAATATAAATTATTGAATATTAAAATTAACTTTATTGAAATTACTATTTATTAATTAAAATGTTTCTATCTTGATTCTTCGTAAGTCTTCCCATTCTTCTTGTTAATAAATTATTAATTTTACAATGTACTTTATTATCGTTCTTGATGATGCTTCTGTAAACAAAAGTAAAAATGTACACACTCTACTTAACAAAAATACTTCTACAATTATATTATTTTTGAATAAAAAATATAGATGTGTACATAACTTTTAACAATTAAATTTTGAACATTTCAAAAATTCTAGAATGTATCAAATAACAAAAATATTGGTAATAGTTCAGAAGCTCTTTCTAGAAATTTTGTTTATCTCTAATTGAAGTTCTTGATATCAAAGTTTCATAATATTAATCGATTCTACCAATTTCGATGCCTTTATAATTTATTATTTTCTAACAATAGTTTTATATGATATTCTAACATATTATGTTGTCTTCTTAAGTAGCTCTTTGATGCTCGTTCCTTAGATGACTATAACGGTCTCTTTTAATTGATGTTTAGTATTTTAGATGATAGCTCTCAAATATTTAAATTCTTTGATAATAGTAACTATGGTAGTGACTATTATGATATTTCAATGTTTGCTTTTTTGTATGATTTTATTGAATCTTTTTATGCTTAAATTCAAATAATGATAACGATAATGTTCTTTTCGGTAGATAGTACCTGAACAGTGAGTGTTTCCTCAAAGTTCAATCTTCCAGATGATGATATACGTCATGATATCGAGTTGCCTGAATAACAATAATGATCCTATGATTCCTAATGTTAAAAATTATCTTTCCAAATGATGGTCTTCGAGTGATGATCTTCGAGTGATGATCTTTGAGTGATGATCTTTGAGTGATGATCTTTGAGTGATGATCTTTGAGTGATGATCTTTGAGTGATGATCTTTGAGTAATGATCTTTGAGTAATGATCTTTGAGTAATGATCTTTGAGTAATGATCTTTGAGTAATGATCTTTGAGTAATGATCTTCGAGTGATGATCTTCGAGTGATGATCTTCGAGTGATGATCTTCGAGTGATGACAATCTTTCCATATCCGTGCTCCAAGTAATAATGATCCCTCGATGTTCGTTCTTAGGATAATCATAATGATGATGATAATGATAATGATGATAATAATTATAATGATAATGATGATGATAATGATGATAATGATGATAATGGCGATGATAATGGCGATGATATGGTGATCTCTCAATATTTGTTCCCTCGATGCCCAGCTTTATGGATACTGATGTGGTTCTTCTTGACATGGATAACGGTCCCTTGATGTCCGCTCCTCTCCAGGAAATGACAATCCCTCGATGTCCGCTCTTCTTCGAGTTAATGATGACAGTCCCTCGATGTCCGCTCTTCTTCGAGTTAATGATGACAGTCGCTCGATGTCCGCTCTTCTTCGGGATAATGATGACATTCCCTCGATGTCCACCCCTCTCCAGTAAATGATCATGGTCTCTCGATGTCCGCTTCACTTCGATTAATGAGGATGGTCCCTCGATATCCGCTTCACTCCGATTAATGAGAATGGTCCCTCGATATCCACTATCCAGGTGATAATGATCCTTTCATGTCCGCTGTCCGGGTAATGATAGTCCTTCAATGTCCGCTGTCCGGGTAATGATAGTCCTTCAATGTCCGCTATCCGGGTAATGATAGTCCTTCAATGTCCGCTGTCCGGGTAATGATAGTCCTTCAATGTCCGCTGTCCGGGTTAATGATAGTCCTTCAATGTCCGCTGTCCGGGTAATGATAGTCCTTCAATGTCCGCTGTCCGGGTAATGATAGTCCTTCAATGTCCGCTGTCCGGGTAATGATAGTCCTTCAATGTCCGCTTGCCCAGGTGATGATCCTTCGATGTCCGCTTGCCCAGGTGATGTTCCTTCGATGTCCGCTTGTCCAGGTGATGATCCTTCGATGTCCGCTTGTCCAGGTGATGATCCTTCGATGTCCGCTTGTCCAGGTGATGATCCTTCGATGTCCGCTTGTCCAGGTGATGATCCTTCGATGTCCGCTTGTCCAGGTGATGATCCTTCGATGTCCGCTTTGCCCAGGTGATGATCCTTCGATGTCCGCTTGTCCAGGTGATGATCCTTCGATGTCCGCTTGTCCAGGTGATGATCCTTCGATGTCCGCTTGTCCAGGTGATGATCCTTCGATGTCCGCTTGTCCAGGTGATGATCCTTCGATGTCCGCTTGCCCAGGTGATGATCCTTCGATGTCCGCTTGTCCAGGTGATGATCCTTCGATGTCCGCTTGTCCAGGTGATGATCCTTCGATGTCCGCTTGTCCAGGTGATGATCCTTCGATGTCCGCTTGTCCAGGTGATGATCCTTCGATGTCCGCTTGTCCAGGTGATGATCCTTCGATGTCCGCTTGTCCAGGTGATGATCCTTCGATGTCCGCTTGTCCAGGTGATGATCCTTCGATGTCCGCTTGCCCAGGTGATGATCCTTCGATGTCCGCTTGTCCAGATGATGATCCTTCGATGTCCGCTTGCTCAGGTGATGATCCTTCGATGTCCGCTTGTCCAGGTGATGATCCTTCGATGTCCGCTTGTCCAGGTGATGATCCTTCGATATCCGCTTGTCCAGGTGATGATCCTTCGATATCCGCTTGTCCAGGTGATGATCCTTCGATGTCCGCTTGTCCAGGTGATAATCCTTTATGTTCGCTCGAAAAATGACTATTATGATATCCTAAACGTTCAGTTTCCTGAATGATAACAAGAATATTTTTATATTCCGATGAATCACAGTACTTGGTTTTTTCAACAAATTTTATTTGAACTTTATAAAACCTTGAAATATTTTGTGTTTTTCTGTATTTTCACTTTCTCAACATATATATATTCTTTAGTTTTATAATAGAATAGTAAATATTTACGTAGAAAGGTAATACATGCTACAAATTTGCAAGTATTTTTATTATTCTTATAACATTGTAATTATTCTATTATAATACTTTTTGCTTTTTAGTAATCACTACAATCATTAATTTTATAAATATGTAACGTATATTGGTTAGATACTTGAATATATGTTGAGGAAGTAATGTTTAAATGCCTTCGTTTCTGTGATACATGGAATAGTTTCTTTTATAATCAGTGAAATTTTCATATTTCTTTTTATATATCCCTTGTTTTCCAAATATCATTACTAATTTTTCGTCAATACAATTATTTTTCAGAATATTTCAATTGATCTAAAAATGTATAAAATTCAAACTTGCTCAAATGGAATAATTTTGCTTGATATTAAAATAATATTTGTTTTAAAAATATGATGAAGAATGAGATATTAATGTTTTATAATAAAGATCGAGATATTAATATTTTACAATAAAATCTGTAGTTCAGATGATTGATTTCCTACTCAAACTATGAATTAATATATTGTAATATTTGCAATATAATATATTGTAATATTTGCAGTTTTTTTTATGTAAACCAATCAATCATTCAAATTATTTGCGATTTTGAATAAAATTGATCTTCGAATTTATAACGACACTAACATATTTAAAAATAATTTTCAAAAGATAATTTTTTTCTTTCTGATGCCACCTAAAAATATTGTAATATTAGGTTGTGGAGAAAGAAATCCATTTTATTTTATTTTTTTTTTTTTTTTTTTTTTTTTTTTTTTTTTTTTTTTTTTTTTTTGACCCAAATCGGAACAATCCGAAACATGTTGAATAAAGTCTTTAAGTTCACGCAAAAATAATGGATTTCTTTTTCCCCAAACTGATATTTGGCTACCAGTATAAGATTTAACATAATTATTATGTATCATAGTTTAAGTAATTGCATAGTCATTTACTGGTTTTACTTTAAGAACAATACATTAAAATTATAGATATATATTATAATAAAATCTACATATTTTTTCTTTTAATTTCTTCTAATCTGATTTTTTTTCATACTTTTAGGGAATCTCATTTTTATTTTTTTAAACTATTAATTTTATCTTTTTTATTTTCTAATCTTTTTATTTTCTAATCTTTTTATTTTCTAATCTTTTTATTTTCTAATCTTTTTATTTTCTAATCTTTTTATTTTCTAATCTTTTATTTTCTAATCTTTTTATTTTTTAATCTTTTTATTTTCTAATCTTTTTATTTTCTAATCTTTTTATTTTCTAATCTTTTTATTTTTTAATCTTTTTATTTTTTAATCTTTTTATTTTTTAATCTTTTTATTTTTTAATCTTTTTATTTTTTAATCTTTTTACTTTTGACCTTATATTTTTTATTTCTCTTTTGAATATTTTTTTCTTTTATTTTTTTAATTTTTTAAGCTTCAAATATATAATAATATCTCGATAGTATCCATTAGGCCGTAAAAAAACAATAATAATTACGAGTTCAAACTAAAATCTATATACATGCGCTTTTTGTCTAAGTAGCAACACTATTACAGGGCTGACAATGCAGAGCGCATTAATGCACTTGTGACATCAAAAAGGTTACAGATGTGAAAAATATTAAAAAATAACAAAGAACAAAAGCTAAAAAGAAAATAAATGTCGAAAAAAAATCCTATCTTCTATAAGCAGGAAGTCTCCAACAAAGTATAAAAAAATATCTGTAAGAAAAAGTTTGTTATTAGACAAACACAATAGATTAGACGTTATACAATTATTCACATAGTTTAATACATACCTTTTAAAATGGAAAAATAGGCTGTTTTGCTGGAACTCTGGATCAAGACCCAAGGTCTGTTTAAGGATGCTGGTCAATTGAAAATCATCGCCTCTAATCGCGTACAAGAAAAATCGTAAGATCAAAGAAGACACAGGAAATTACAAACGCCATATGTAGATCCCATTAACCCATTCTTCGATAATAGATGTTTTCATCAACTGCGACAACGAAAACGAATCCACTTCTAGAAGATCCTTTAGAGACATCTTCCAAAAATATTCCTACAAGTTCCTCTTTCCGTGTATCATTTCAATGATCAACTGCTAAAAGTTTGACTATGAAGGTATAACCCAAGAGATGATGATGCCAAATGAAAATCTCTTCTAAAATTAGTAGATTGCCGATGCCATAGTAATTCGACGACCAATCCCATCCTCTAGTCGATCGGGCATTGGGACACCATCGATGTTTTCAAGGATCCTTTTACTAGATTTATTTCAAGTTTTAACGATTACTGATGTCCTGAGAAAATTGTGATCGACTATCTTCCAATAATCTTCATTCACAGCCTTATTTACAATTTTTTACAAACTTATGTGGCCTCTAAAAATAGCTGATTAACACAAATGTGGAGAATACTAAGTATAACTCACGTATAGCGAAGCTCCCAATCAGGTGAATCCAAATCATGACCAGGAATATCGAGAATTTCTTGTGTTTCTAACTAATCTTCATAAATAACAATCAATATATAATTTAAATAATCTTCATAATCTTCGTAATCTTCATTATCTTCATAAATCAACATAATCTCTTCATAATCTTCATAAATTAAAATAATCTTCGGAAATATGTCAGCTGTTTTTATAAAATAAATACATCTTCTTTCATATTTAATATTTTCATTAATATAAACTTCACAATTATTGCTACTGTCGATAGTGTACCCATGTTGTTTTTCTTCCTGTATTGAATTGTTCGACTTCTCATAATACCTTCCTATATTGATGAAGTGCTAGATTTTTAATCAAGTGAATGTTATATCTAAATTGGTTGCAAGTTAATATTTGTTGCTTTTACACAAATTATGAAATATATTCTAGAAGAAAATAACCAATTCTACCTTTTACAATATGTTAAATAAAATGATTTTTATTGAAAAAATACCTCAATTAATACTGCTTTTAAAAAATCAGGAGGAGAGAAGCGTTATCTTAGCATCATAGAAACAATGAAATATTAGAAATTAGACATTTCCTTTACTATTTAGTATAGTGCATTTGCCATCTCATGCATATTCTTGATCCTAGAAGGACAACTCACAATGCTAGACAATTTTTCTATATCACACATAAGTGATGCTATCTGAAATGCCATTGAATCTTCAATTTATTAGTACCCTCCCTCCCATCCCTTCCCTTCCAAAAATTCCTAAACAATTTATTAAACTTTTCAATACACTGATATAGCAGTACAATAATTTTTGAAGCAAAGTAATCAATTATTATACAATGTATAGTTTAAAATCAATGAATAGTTTCAAAGCGCAATACACAGCACTTAAACAGCATATTAATCAATACAGCCATTAAAATTTAGTCTTATTGTCCTTTTTAATTGAAAAAATATAACTCACGAAATTCACTCACCAAAGTTTGCTAGCATCAAAAGCCATTTCTACAATATTTCTACCTCTTCCAGCCATAGAATTTAATACCAAGCATCATTCATTAAATTGTGTTGGTAGATTTAAATTGTCATACTATATTTAAAACTCAACGTATATAGCTACCAAACTTAATATTCCACCCAATTTTAGCAATATTGATGCGCATTATCTTGAGCTTGATGTATACTTGGTTATCACATTACACAAAACTTGGTTTTATCACACATATTTGATATCAAAGAACTTTCTCACATAATAGCGTAAATATATAAAATATTAACGAACGAATGCACTAATTTCACACAACCTACACAATATTCCTCTTCCTATGTTTAAGTATTATGAGCCTCCTGTTTTAAATTATAATATCTTTATGAATTGCCTGGCTACATAGCATAAGCAAATTAAAATTTCTATTTCATGATAGCAAATCTGTAATATCATATCTTGTACTCATATTCTATACGTTAAACGCAAGCAATCAATAAATTATTGCAGCAAAAATAAAATTCACATCACTTTATAAACTTCTTCCATATTGCTTTTATCTAAAGAAATTGTTATTTTTAATCTCAAAACACTTTCCTGTAAGAAAAATATTAATATATCCCGCAATAGCTACTATTTACCTGGGAAACATTTCTATTGGAAAACGACCTCTTATACTTCGTTATAATGAAATTCTTTTTTTAGAGTAATTTTACTCCAATATTAATGAGTCTTGTAAATTATATTACTATAGCTTGTTAAATAATAAAATTGTTGCAATTGTACAGTAAAGCTATCTACTACTTTGGCATGAAATTGCTTTATCCTTCTTTAGATGGTCATGTAAAATTCAAATGATGAATGTTTTTTTCTACATGATACATACGGATGGATGTTTTGTGCAGTATTATCTTCTGACGGAACAGTAGTTGTTGGACATATATACGTTCAATGGATATGTTAACATCTGCATCCCATGAAGAAATTTTCCACCCATTAGCAGTTTCAAAAGATGCATTTCTCAAATAGCTATATTCTAATCTTCCACTGGCTAGGTACAATGCGTTCTGAAGTAGACTACCATGCTGCACATGCTTTGGCTGATATCACAAGAATACCTGATGGGAAATGTGCATAGTTCTGCTAGCATCTCTGTGGAAAGAAAATGCAAAATCTTTTTGCCCTCCCTTTCCTCCCCTAATACTCACATAAACCATCCAACAAATCTAAACTATATAAAAAAAGCTGATCCAAGAATTGTATAAAATTTGTTTAGGTATATAAGTTTAAATACCTCATTACATACATACTATTAAAAATTATGGTACTTGAATGTCTAATTATTAGAACATGAATTCTTACAATATCCATCTCCTTAATATTTCGTTTAAATTTACATTCAAATGATGAATAAATATTGTAGATGTGTTATCATATGATATCAGCGTGCAGTGCAGGAACCTGTTATTTAAACTTTGGTGAGCAACAAGAAATACTCTTATCAAAGAATTGCTATGTAATAAGTATAGATTTTTCTATTTTTCTTTTAATATGAATTCATTAAGTAATATTCGATATTCTCTTGCTCAATAAGATATCTTGTTATTATATTGTAGAGATTTATCCGAATGAGTCTTCTCCATTTAGTCATTGCATGAAACACACAGCAACATTCCTGTAGCTCAGAACATTTTGTTTTGCCCACCCTTACCATATGAACTCTTTTCAAACAGTCAAATACGTAAGTTTAAATTATAATAAATTTTTCAACATTGCACATTCGACTATGTACAAACATATGCATTATGTAAAGTTTGCTTACAAATACATGATCAGCAACTGTAATATGCCAGGATCCAGTCGAAATCCAAAGCCATGTGCTTGTGATCTTTGGGGCTGATTAGTAGTAACTGGAATAAGAATGTAAATAATCTGGGATCTCCAACATACCTTTTCCCATTTAAGCCAGACATTGAGATTATACGAGCGTTATATACAATTCCAGCAATCTTCCAGAGCATTAAAATTTTTGTATGAAAACTGTGAAAAACAAAACAGCCCCAAGAGAAGCCTCACAACAGAATATACATTTTAAAATATATATTCATATTAATTAAGCAAATTTCTTTCAAGCCAACCAGCCTTTTTCCAATATTCTTCATATTGTTTTGTGTTCAAAAATCCAATGTATTCGCACTTGTTAACTGTGACAATTTTCAATATTAGAATAATTTTCCTCAGGGCTTAAAACAAAATTGCATTGACCAAACAAAGTATAAAAGATTTTCTATCATGTTCCAGCAACTTCTTCCATCCAAAGCAGTTCTCATCATTGCTAAATCCTATCTCCATCATTAGAGCGAAGAATACAAAATCCACATAGCGAAATAGAACTTTGCAGTGAAAAAATCTCAACATACACCTGCCCCCTGTCCTATTTATACATGTCAGTTCGTAATATCATCTAATTGTGAGGGATACCTCCTTCCTTCAATCAACTCTTGTTCTGTATATCTCAGTGAGATTGATTCTATTGACCATGCTTCCATTTAATCTAGAAAACACATAACGCACAAATTCCATCCCTAGTTTCATAAAAATATTGATATACAGGGTACCTTTATGCCACCTAGGGATAAGTTTCTTTCAGGATCACATCGTATCTGTGAAAATAATTATTGCGCACACAGACGAAAAGAACATAGAAAAATATAAAAACTTATGCACCATTTGCTTTGTTAGTAGTACCCATAGCTATTCTTTGTTCATGAATTTGCATGAATCTGCATGAAACTGCTTTAACTACTGATATTTACCAACGATCATTTCTCTCATATTTCTTTGCTTTAATTACTGACATGCATTACGAATCATCATACCTCAAAACTTATACTAACAGAATATATTGATGAGGTTGATTGGATACTGGCATAGTCAATTTTGCATCATGTCAACGATCAGAGTAAACTGGTATTAGCAGCGCAAACACTGGAGGGGACTTTGAGAATCTTCCACGTTCAGTAGAAATGTTCCGAATCTGAAGAAACACGTTACAAGGGTGGTTGGCAATACGAAAGAGCTCACCAGACAGTAGTACGAGTTCTCTGCCTCGCAGTGAGCCTTGTGCATCGCGCGCTGAAGGTTTTGAGAAGACTCGCGACTTGGTTGTGTGCCGAAGGTGCGAAGATATGATGCGTACGTGCGTTATGCCACCACACATTTTGACCAAAGTGCGCCTTACACGGCCTTCTAAAAACAAAGACTAACCCCTTTCCCTCTCGATACAAATCTTATCGTCTCACCGCACCTCATTCATGGACAGGCCAACAACGTCACAGCCGATAACCAATTGCTTCGACATTCGTCTATCGTTCTCTCGCTCAAAGATTTCTAGGATGAATGGCAGACTGAAAAGGATTTATGGTATTAATATGATGTACGATACTGGCAGATTATGAAAAAATCATTTTTATTTCAAACATATTTATTTTCATGATACTCCCGTAACTCATCTTTGTCATCTATAAGATAATGTATAATTTACAAAATTCAATGTGAATTAACATTTTCATCGATATATCATATATCAAAAATCCACGCCATTAATCTATAATTTGAGATCCTTTTATCTTATAAAACATCCTTATAATAAAATATTAAATGCCATAATTCTAATATCACATTTCAGAATGTTACAAAAATTATATAGTCATCAATTATTGCTCAAAAGTCATTCCAGTGATGTTATAAATCTATCCTGAAATTATTAGAGCACATTCTCTGTAATCTAATTAACTATGGACTTTCATAAAATATTTTTTCTCTTTGGAAAATTCCAATTTCCAAAGATAATAAAATATTTTGACTCGATACAGTTTACAAACCAAACTGGTGACAGGTACTAGGACCAGACAGCATGGTATCTTGACTTCTTAGATGTATGCCCAGTGTCCATGGACAGCTTCTCCATGACCATCACACCCGTCCCATAGCCACCTCAAACGGTGAGACTGCAAGTAAAAAATTTCCAGATATACACCAGGGTAATGATGTAACTTCTAGATGCCATAGTACACGAGTAGATACTGCAAAGTCTTCCAGTTCCATCCAAATGATGAAATTTGGTACAATTTTAATCGTCCCATTCATCGTTGTAATGGAGCTTTAATTTCAGAGAGTTTCAACATAAAATCATTTAAGCTGCTCAATTCCTGACACACTGGTTCATCCCATAAATTACTTTTTTGATATATCTCGGAGTATTCCAGGCTTTCGCAATTATGATTATCAGATCGTGAATTTGGCAAGAATTTGGACTTAAGTTTCCGCCATTGTGAAATCCTTAAAAGCTGTTTTCTTCGTAGTTCATATTCAGCTTTATAAAGAGTGTATGATAAAACAGCTTCTATGCGTAAATTACGTTTTCGATTTCGGCGGCACATTAATTTCTTCCAACGTACTTCCTTTATCCAATTGGATAATTGCTCAGTCTTACTTGGTTGATCTACGTCGATTTCCCAAGGTCTTAACATCTTGTTCCGAACAAATGATGCAGATTATTGCGATAAGATAAAATCCAGATGTTGGGACTCTCTGTTTACTCTGCTTATAAAGTTGTGACGAGGTCCATAAAACAGGAAACAATTCTCTGTCGAACTTCTTCAACTTCTTTCGAATTTTTTCTTGAACATCGTATCGAAGCTCGTATCTTGAGGCACTAACTTATAAATACCAATGTTGCCTACATCGCGAAAATAAAATTCTTTTCGCGTACCACCTAACAAACTTAATAATTAATGAAAACACCAACCTGTATCTGGCTCGTGTTTCTTGACGATCCTAGCAGAAATGCGGATTGCAAAAACAAATAATAGAACACTGATTTGCAACAAAACTAGAGAAAAACTATGTAAGAGCCAAACACGACCTTCTCCGCTTGAGGTTGACTGAGGAACTGGTCCGCCCGGACGATTGGGTGGGGTCTTATATACCTCTCTATACCCCACTATGTAGTGTCCTTACGCGCAATCGATAGAAAGTAGTTCCCTAAATATCCTTTCAAATTTATTATTACGACACAATTTATTCGTCAAAAATCATTTTTTTAATTTCTATGATGTTTATAAATAATAATAGTAATTATTTTTGGTCATTATGTTACGTTTTTTTAAATAATTAATAAACGAAAGAAAACGTTCGTTGGCGTAGGGATTGCAATGCGGTCATTGGCTCGTACCTCCCCTTCCACTTTTCTACCGTCGTCAGACGATAGCTACGTCTGATGCAGCCATCTTACTGCGGATAAATCCCAGAGTTGCCAAATTTCCACTTTTTTTATAGAATCAATATCTTTAATATTTATTTTTTCTTTGTAATATCTTTTTTAGTTTAGAATTATTTTTATGTATATGTACTTATTTATTTATATCTTTCTCTTAAAACATCTATTGTTCTATGTTTCATACTCTCTCTTTCTTTCTTTCTCTCCCTCTCTCTCTCTTTCTCTCTCTCTCTGTGAGAGAGTATACACATGTCTTTATAATCCTAAAATAGAAAGTTTATATAGAAATGGTACACTTTATAATATAATTCAGGCTTTGATCAAAGAAAAAAAATAATTACAATTTCATAAAAATACGATTTTTAAGCAAGAGAAAAACTATGTATTAAATTGAGTGGTATATTTTATATTACAATATTTTTAAAATATAAAAAAGAATATTATATAATATTTCAATAATAAACTTTTAGAAATATATTTAGGTAAAATAATATAATAAAATGCTTCAATATTTGTGGGTCATATAACCGAGAAATCTGGCAACAGAGCTTACGGAGAATTTCCTTTACTATATACCAAACCATAGAACGACATCCATTGTATTGAAACTTTCTTTTCCTTCAATACAATAGAAATATTTTATACCTTAACGAAAATTAACTAAAATAAAACGTAATATATGCTATTCTTGTACCACATATATACATATATATATAAACATATATACATATATATATAAACATATATATATATATATATATATATATCAATCTTTTAATAATTTTAATATAATCAAAAATATGAGACATACAAAAGCATTATGACGTCACAAATGACACATTTTCGTGGTAAAAAAAACAAATCCGAGGTTTATAAAGTATTGACATAGTATGATTCATAACATTTATTTATATAAGAATAAAATTATTAAAATTTTTTTTATTGAAAAGAAATGCGAAAGAATTCGTATAATTTTATTGCAAATTAAATAGAAACATTGCTCTGTAATTCATAAATAACAATAATGTCGTATTTGTATACATGAATATGTGCATATATTATCGAAATATCACATTTATTTCAGGAAAGAATATTCGTGAATATTCGTTATGTAGGAACGGTAAATCTCATATATATACGTGTGTGTGTATGTTTATCATACATACACAGTATAATTCGGAACTGGTAGTATAACCAGGAAAAAGGTGATTGTATATATATATAAAAAATTAGTCGAAAATGTAGAAAGAGTCTTAGATTATTATTATTATTTATTAAAGAATCTTAAATACGAGATTTTATTTGTGAGAAAATTGAGTTTGAAACTCCACTAAATGCGTATGCAATTACGGCTAACAATAAGGTATGATTCATCAAGCAAAGTATCATGTCATCATTGTGATAGATCAACGAAAATTGTACTAATATAAATAACATAACGGAAGAAATCGCAGAGCATAGTTTACAATCACGATAGATATTGTACGTCTTTCAATCGACCAATTATTTTATAAGTGTGTCTGTGTATATATTTAAAACAATAATCTTTTAAAGCTTTAAAAATATATAAGAAACTTTTATGATAAAGAATTATTTTCATTTATGTTATTATAATGATATTTTTTCGAAAGTTACAATATGATCAATAACGATTGCACCATTCTCGTTACAGTTGTAGAAAGCATGCGCATTATTTGTAAAAGTAGAGGCTATGAATTTATCGATTATGAACATGACATATATATATATATATGTATATGTTTTGTGAAATAGGTATATAGAAGATAAATAAATCAGACAGCGTAAACAATATGTAACGTTGTCATTTATTTTCACGGTAAATTCAGTAAAAACAAATTTGTTTATAAAGAAATTGTATTCAATAATTATATGTAACCTTTTAGTACAATTAAAAGAATGTTAATTTAAATTTGTAACACAAATCAATACTTTATTGAAAATAAAATATTTTAATTATTAACATTTTATTTTAAATATAATTAAAAAATAAATGAAGATAACAAAAATATTTATAAAGGAATCACGATAGTTACAATTGTATACATTACGTTTAATAATAGAATACATTCCACTTGAATTCAATTATTAATATTGATATATTGAATTAAATATTGAATTCCACAATGAATTCATAACATTGTTCATAAAATATTCTAACATTTAAAAAATTAATATACTCTCTATAACAGATAAATCAAAAAATAGAGAAATAAATAATTAACAAAATAATTTTTTATTTAACTAAAATGAAATATAACAATCATTCTTCAAAAATTAGTACTTTCGATACATTATTTTAAAAAATCGGTACAAATAATCAAAAATTTTTATATCAATAAGGAAATTAAAAAATCAGCACTGTACTAACAAATTCATTGAATGGTTATTGTAATAATACACTATTGTAATAATAAAAATCCAGATAACATTTGCTATTTGGACTTTGAATTTGTACTTTGGAAAAATTACATTTCTCATAGATTAATAACAATAAAAATAATCTTCATAAAGTTAGAATATTGTATAAAATAACATTTCTTATTTGGAAAATTACTAAAACTATTTCTTATAGTTTAGTTAACCTTACTTTTTCTATATAAATGCATAACGGTAAAAGTGACCTTTACAAAGATACAATACATATACTTTCTATAAAGCTACAATGACCTCACGCAGGTATCTGACCCACCATGCTATATTCATTATTCAACGTACATATATATACACACACACGTTAAAGGTTTAAATATTAGAACAATATATTGATTTATACTATAATGCTTCTATTTTTCTACTTTCCGTTTTTATATAGAAATAGGAAATTCCCAAATTTCTTTAAAATATTACTTTTTCTCTTTCGTAAACAGTTATTTAAAATGTTTAGTTTTTGTTAATTTTATTAATAAAATTTTCATATTATTTACTTGTAGAATTTATTTTTGTTTATAAAAGCTGAAATGTAATATAATGTTATATGCAAAATAATATAATATATAAAAATAATATCTTTTATATATTTTTTTTTTACAGAGATATTAATACATTATATATTTGTGCTGTTTACAAGGAATATATACAATATGTTTATATTAACTTCTTTTAATTCAATACATAAATCATATTTTTTGGCACTATTATATGGCATACAAATATAGAAATGTAGTATTATAAATACATATATTTATTATATAAATTGATATTTCTCTTATATTTAACATTTCATCAGTAACAAACTATACTATTTTTTAAATAACAATTGAAATATAATTTTTTGAAACCAAGAAAATATACGTATTTAATTAATATAGAAATATATAAACTTAAATATATAAATATATAAACTTGAAAATATTAATTTCTTGATATTTTAAATTAATGAAAAGGTATAAAAAAATCTGTGTCATTTTCGAATATATTATTTAATATTCAGTTTTATTAAAAAACATAGAAATCATTTGCCCAGTATGACTCGATACTTTTGTTTATATCAAAATGAAATAAACCTAAGTAGACATAATAAAATGATAACTTAATAAGAGCCCATTGCTCAAGAAGAGTTAACTCCCATCGCTTCCATTCACTTGTAGATAAGTTTAATTTTTCCCCATAAACTGAATGAATGCAATATTTCGACATTTCCATGAATGAAGACATTCGATTTTGTGTCTGTAATGAATGTTCAATTCCACGCATTAAATCATTTGTTTTAAGAATTAACAACATTTGCCTATTGACCCTTTGTAATACATCACTAATTTGTGGTAACAGATTAGGTATTTCTTGTTGAAAAAGTTCTTTTTCATTTATATCATACTTTTTTTTCTGTACTCCTGACATTATAGTATCCCATGTTCTACCTGATACCATACATGATAGTAATCCATAAAGATCACCTACACCTAGATTCGTACAGTGAAGTTTCATAGCAGCTCTATCTCCATTCAGTATTGCTAACCATAGTTTAGAATATTCCCATCGAAACTTATCGGAAAGAGTTGCATATAATCCGTGATCTAATAGGATTATTTCAGCTTCCGAATTATTATTTCTAACAAGAATATTTCCAGGATGAGGATCAGAATGTACAAATCCATTAACAAATATCATATGACTATATAAACGGCCCAATTTACTGCTAACTTCGTATGGATTTAATTTTTTGCTTCGTAAATATTGAAGATCATTAATTTGACCACCTTCTAAGAATTCCATAGTTAAAACACGTTGAGATGATAAATCCCAATATATCTTTGGTATTATTAACCAATGGTAATGAGAAAGAAGACTCTGTATCTTCTCTGCATTTTTTCCTTCTTGAGTAAAATCTAATTCTAGTGGTATATTTTTCTTAGTTTCATCAACTAACCAATCGAATTTAAAGTCTGGAAAAATGTAAGACGTAATTTTCACTAATGTAGACATAGTTTTTATATCAACAAAAGCATTGGTTTTGACGGTACGATGTTGGACTTTAACAGCTACCACATTGCCATTTTTAAGCACAGCTTTATGAACTTGTGCAAGACTAGCAGTACCCAAGGGTATGGGATCGATGATTTCGAATATATCGTATGGATCTTTTTTGAAATCTTCTTTTATCACTCTGAGAACGTCTTTAAATGATGATGGTGGTGCAGAACTGTGTAAAACACGCATTGTACTAACATATTCTGCTGGTAATAAATAATCCAATGCTCCAATATGCTGGCCAACTTTTATATATACACCTTTATTGGCACAACAAAGTTCAAGAAGACGTTCTGCTCCATATTTGTGTGTTTTTGATTTTAGTTGTAAGTATTCTGGTGATGTCCTTTCCAAACTGGTATCGTAAAGTTCCTTTTTATAGTAATTACCTATTATAAAAACAGTAACAGCAGCACGCCCAAGACGTACGATACCAATTGATCCAATATCATATTCATTAGCTCTTAATGATGCCAAGGTGCCTACAGCTATTGCACTTATCGTAGCAGTTTTCAAGAATTTTTTCAAAGCAGTTTTCAAGAATGTAATCATTGTCACGAAAAACAAATCTATGAAGTTATAAAATAAATATGAGATTAATATTTATTGTTTAAGAATACATAGATTAATAAAAAAAACTAACCTTAAATCATATCCTTATTATTTTAGAAAATATATAAATATTTTCTGCTATATTAACGTAATTTTAAAAAATTGGAAGTAAAGATGAATTAGCTCTTTTCTGGTGACATCATTATATTAACTTTATATCACATAACCTAAATGTCAATTATATCACGAACACGTAAAAAAAGATCAGTGAAACATCCAATATTTATTCATATTTACTTTATTGAATTTAATCAATTCACTATTATATTCTAAATGAAAATTATATTTATCGAATAATCAAGAGATAGAGGATCAATAACTTAACTTCAACAAAAATGAATTCTTAAAAACTTTCACTATTGACTAAAAGCATCTGAATTACTACTTTCACTTTTATAAAATTTTTAAATAATTTCGGTAACACTACATAAAAATCTTCATTCATTACAGCTATTAATATTAAATAACAGTCTATAAAAATCAAATAGTTATATAAGATTTAATGAATCATGATTTTATAAAAAGAAATGATTTCTAATTGTTCAAATAATTTTATATCTGTAATGTAAAGAAAATATTTCTGAATATTTTGTGAGTGAATTTTGAATATTATCTAATAATATGTAAGCTCATAATTAAGGTATAGATCTTTATTTGTATAGAATGTTGTAATAAAATACAATTATAATTACTGTTTTATTATACATAAAATATAGAACATTATTTTTGAAAATATATCAAAATATTATTTATATATTCTATTATTGAAATAATTTTATATTCTTTATATAACGATTAAACTTGTTACTATGTTATTGTAATAATCAATATTTCTAAACGTTGATTAACATGTAATTTTTTGGTCGGATGCATGCTGTATTAAAGCTTTCTGAAATATTCATTAAATTTCATTATTTTACAAAGAGACATATATAAATAAAACTTTATCATACTTTAAATATGTTACCTTTAATATTGGTATGGCGTTTGTAAATTGTAATCCTAAACTTCGAGCCAAAATAATAGGAGCTGCAGTTCCTTTGTATAATCGATGAAGAGCATCTATAGCTAACATTGTAGGAATGTTATGTCGTTGACGTGAAGTCTCATATCTGCTTAAATATATTGAGTTATTAAGTACTGCACCATCTGTAACTGCTTCCGCAAGAACTTTTACTAAGACAGTAATATCTCCAAAGCCCAAATTAACACCTTGACCAGCTAAAGGATGAACACGATGTGCTGCATCTCTGATATATAATTAAAAGCATTCCTTTAAAATTTACATTCCTAATCAAATATAATAAAAAAAATTGAATAGTAGTTTCTGTATCTACTAATTTTATTACCCAACTAAGACTGTTCCAGGTGCAACATATGATACAGAATGACCAAATCCCAATGGAAAAGCTGCTCTTGAACCTTCTATAATTTTTGATACTGTTGGCGGCAACTGTCTTGATATTCCAGTTTGTAGAGATAATCCTTCGAGTAATTGATGTAAAGCTTTCATACCACTTTCTATAATACCATTTTTAGGATAGATTTTCCATAATGCACTATTTATATTATCAACAAATTCCTCCTCTGGTATTTTTAAAAGCTTTTGTGCTTCTTCAGTTGTAAGAGACCATACTAATGAACTGAGAGTATTTGTTAACTAAAATATTTGTAAGAACTTTTATATATTGTAAAATTATTTAAATCCAATTAAAATAAATTTATAGTAATGATGTACTGGAAGTAAAGCTATTGGTCCACTTGGAAGGAATCTTTGCCAAGCGACAATATTTTCTGTTGGTTCACATAATTCCAACGTAGCAACAATTCCCATTTGATCATATTTCCATTGAATATACTGAACATTCATTGCTTGACGTATTTTTGAATTAACTCCATCTGCTCCTATCTGTCACATTAATAAAGGTATATAATTATATATGCAATATATATAAAGTAAATTGTTACTAGAGACTATATTCTACAAAGTGGGAGCAATACTATAGACTTTATTCTACTATGTCTTGAAATAACTTCTTTAGTCTTGTTCCAGACACCAGAAAGTATACTTCAACAGATTGTCTTGCTTCAAGAGTATTAAAAAATTGCACATCAAAACCAGTGATGATTATATTAAAAATTTTTTTAATATTCATGTACTTTGTTAAACACATTTAAACATAATTATTATATGAAGTGAATAAAATTTATAAATTGAGATTTAAAAAAATATTTATGCTAGGGAAATTAGTAATATATAATTAATATATTAATATATTAACTCATATATACACACATAAAAGGATCACAAAAATATTTCTTAGTAATCATAAAGATAAAAATAATAAGATAGTAATCTTGAAATCAAAGTAATGAAATTTAATTTCATTTATAAAAAAATAATTATATTTTTAAAGTAATTTTAAAAATTTAATAATTTACTGCATATCCATAATCTTTAATATTTTATTTAATATTTTTGACCTAAGAGGAGAGTGTGTTTATATGAGCATTTCCTCAAAGGATGTAGTTATCAGTTGTTATATTTAGAATCATATTTTTTAGACGTAATATTATTTTATATGGGTAGGATTTTCTGTTACGTTGACAGTAAAAAAATAGTATATAAAAAATTATATAGATTTATCTTAATACTTGGTAAACAGTGTTAGAACAGTGAACAGTGAGAGCTAAATATATGCCAGCTCTGTTTTATAAACATCAAAAGTATATGTGGACATTCTCTAAAGTATACAGAGAACAGGAATAGTTTCTAAGTGGTAATATACGAGAGCAATGTGAATAGAATAAAACGTTTGTAGTTACCTACTTATTATAAAAAAGTACTAATATTTTATTAATCACAATATTTTGCATTTTATATACAAATTTTATATGAAAATTTTAATTATGTGACATTGAAGTATTTAATTTATCTTTCAATCATTATATTCAGATAAAAGTGAATGAAGAAAAATATGTAATTATGTCTAACCTTAAGAAAAAAATCTTTGGAAAACTGTCTAGTCATGGTGGTTCACAAGAAGAATCAAGAAGAAATAATATAGACATAACACCATCTATTATTGTTAATTATGAGGTCAGATAATAATTTAAATATTATTTATTAAATTTCAAGATAAAATTTTTTGAATATTATCTTATGTTTAGAACAACGAAGAAGATATATGGATGGATGAAATAGATGAAAAAAGCATTTCGTCTGAAGAAACATCAGAAGCTATAATGTGCCATATTCGTCAACGGCCAATGAATCAACAACAATTATGGACTAAAGAAGAAATTACTTTAGCACTATCTAATCTTCCAGCAGGAGAAGTAGCTCTTACTACAATACCTACATTACATGGCAACATTTTACAAAAAACGTTAGAGGAATTACAAAATTTGCATCTTAGAGAACCAATTTATAAAAAGACATGTACTTTCACAAATGGGTATGCTTTGAAACAAGTAATAGTTTTTCAAAACTGATTTGGATTTAATTTTGCTTAATTTTTATAATTCATGTGATTTATGTTTTAAATTAGATGTATAAATAAAACCATTTTAGTATCTGAAAATAATATAGCAATAAGAGCAACACCTACGGAACTGTTAGTAAAATGGCCAGAGACATGTCTTCTTGTTGCATGTTGGGTTGGTCATTTTGATATAGTGAAAATATTATTAGAAAAGAATGTAAACGTCTCTTGTAAAGATGAAGATGGAAGGTTTGTCATAAATTCATAATCCTATAATTTTTAATTTGGTGCAATTTAGTTAAATATTGTAAAATACTGCAAATGAATATTATAATTACAGAACTCCAGTACATTTAACAGCTTGTGCTGCGATAGTAAGGATACTAGAAGAATTATTGTCATATGGTGCAAATCCTTGTGAATGGGATTTTAATCAAAAATGTACACCTTTGCATTGTGCTGCTGCAGTTGGAAATGTTGCTTGCATAAAATCTTTAATAAAGGCAAAAGCAGATGTAAATGCTGGATTTCCAGGGAAAACTCCCCTTCACTATGCAGTACTAAGTAATGCGGTAGATAGTGCTGAAGTTCTACTACAGGCAGGCGCTCATCCTAATAATCCACAAGTACTTAATAAGATGAAATATATGAAGTTATTAATTTTAATAACTTCAAAAATATAATTATTACAAATATAATTATTGCAAAATATAATTATTACACTCAAATAGGTTTATACTGAAACACCATTGCATGTAGCAGCTAGTCTTGGATCTGTTCCTTGCATGAAACTTTTATTAAATTATGGTGCTGATGTAAGAGTTCAGCTTGGCACTGCTAGATCAACACCACTTCATCTAGCAGCTGAAGAAGGTAGTGCAGAATGTACAAAATTGCTAGTGGATGCTGGTGCTTCATGTGAAGCTAAAAATTTAAAAGGCCAAACAGCAATGCATTTAGCTGCATTAGCTCAATCTTTAGAAACTTTGGAAGTACTTATTAAAGCTGGTGCAAAAGCAAATGTTGAAGATATTGATGGAAGAACACCGCTACACGCGGCAGTAGCAAAATCGTTAAGAGCGAGTGAATTAGTGAGGACCTTAATACAGGTTCATATATATGAGAATATAGAAAATATTTAAACTTATATCCACAATTTTAATTTGTTCTTTTCTAATAGGCTGGTGCATCAGTTAATAAACCTGATAAATTTGGTTATACTCCGCTGCATATAGCAGCATTAAATGAAAATTCATCTACAGTAATGATGTTACTATCAAAAGGTGCAGATATTACTGTCAGGACTAAAGGTGGTATTTCAGCATTAAGTTTTATTATTCGCAGAACACCAGATATCTTACCACGTTTTGTTACAAGATTGGATCAAGCCATATCTTTATATGATCATGAATTAGGAGATGTTGATTGTGAATTGAGATTAGATTTTAGACCCTTAGTACCAGGTGGAAAAGGAGAAACAGATCTAATGCTCTGCTTAATAGAAGTTGGTCAAGGTCATATTTTAAAGCACCCATTATGTGAAAGTTTTCTTTACTTGAAATGGTTAAGAATACGCAAATTTTTTCTAATTAGTTTAGTTTTCCATTCTATTTTTGTTATACTTTTTACAGGTTATATTTCTGTTACATACTTATGGAATATCGATCATCTTAGCAAAATATTATTTTGGTTAATATTGAGTTATACATGTATGCTTATCACTAAAGAATTTTTTCAAATTGCTCATGATGTATGTTGTTATGTTAAACGTTGGGAAAACTGGTTACAATGGTGCGTAATTTTAACATCGTGTTTAGTTTTGATTAAACCGATCAATAATTGGCAGCATCATATTGCAGCTTTAGGAATTTTATTAATTTGGATAGAATTAATGATAGTTGTGGGAAGATTTCCAATGTTTGGACTTTACATTCAAATGTTTGCTCAAGTGGCAATAAATTTTTTTAAATTTCTTGGGGCTTACATCTGTCTTATAATAGGATTCTCTTTAGGATTTTGTGTTTTACATAAAAATTATAAATCTTTTGCAAATCCATTAGTAGGTTTACTAAAAACGATTATAATGTTGTCTGGGGAATTAGAATTTGAAGATGTATATTTTAATGAAAACTCTAAAGTTTTATATGCTGGTACATCACATTTGATGCTTTTAAGTTTTGTTATTTTAGTGACTGTAATCTTAACAAATCTAATGGTTGGTCTTGCTGTATCAGACATACAAGAATTAAGGAGATGTGCTGGACTTGATAGATTAGTACGCAGAGCAGAACTTGTATCATATCTAGAGGGAATGTTATTCTCTAAACTATTAGATTATGCACCAAAAAATATAATTGAAACATGTAGATATGGAGCTATGCTTTTGCATCCTCCATATCATTGTGCAATTCAAATTCGTCCAAATGATCCAAGAGAAAATCGTTTACCCAGAGATTTAGTAAAAGCTATATATCGTTTAGTATGTGAACGGAAAATTCGAAATACAACTGGTAAGAGTACATTTATGCAAAGTGTAAGTGTATTAGAATCTGATTATATAAAATTAAATCGACTTCATAGTACTAATTCATCAACTGAATATAATCAACAGCAACTAAACGAATTAGTAACTGAATTAAAAAGATGTTCGTATAACATTACAACACATTTAGACAGTATCAAAAATAGAATAGAAAATATTGCTAAAGAATTAGATATGTCAATAAGTTATTAAATAATATAACCAAATTATTATACAATTTATTTTTTATATTAATTACTTTCAATAAACTAACACTAAAAAAATGCATTTAAATACATCTATCACTTACCAATAATTTTGTCTTATATTGTTTTCCATTTTCTAGCTGTACTTCAACATTTTCTCCTATTATCTCAGGCAACAATAAATTTGTAACTTTTGCATTATAGACAACATTAACATTTGATTTTTCCTCCAATTGTGTATTTACTGCATGAAGAAGTAAGTCATTTTCTACTATGTACGCCAATTCTTTAGATAAAAAATCCTCATTAAAAGTTATTATAGCATCAGAACATGCATCCCATACCTACTGATGATATTATACATATAACATTACATATGACTTACATGTCAACACCATTATATTTCAAATTAAATAAAATGATATATAAAAAGACACATACAAAATTTTCTAATAAGTATATTACCTAACTAGGAAAGAAAATATAATAGTACCTGCATCATTTTTACAGGGCAGCATCGTACAGCTTCTATATGTTGCCATGCTCCTATGCTGGATAGCAAAGTACGAGTCTGTTGATTCAAAGCAACCACACGATTCGAATACTTTTCTTCTGGTTTATATTCATGTTTATTGCCACCTTCTAGTAGCAATACTTTTTTCGATTCTAGCCATCTATTATTAGCTTCAAGTATGATTTATATCATTATTATCGATGATATACATTATTTTAAAAAAAATTATTTTTTAATATGTATGTATTTAATGAATTTTTTATAATCATCTTTCTATTCTAAAAATATAGTGTCTATCAGATAATACAAATGAAAAATATAACTAACCTATCGCACAAGCCAATGTTGTTCCTACCATACCACCTCCTGCAATAATAATATCATAACATTCTTTACTGTTTTTGTCATCAGAATAATTTCTTCTTACATAGGTAACACTATTTGTTACAGTACATTTACATTGTTGTGTAAAAGAAATTAATAATCTATGATACGACGCTCCCGTTCTGACAAGAGTCGCCATTTTGTATAGTAGTCAATGTTTCTTTGCAAATAATAGGATCTAGAATTCTTATTTTATCAATTATACATTTGAAAAATGTTGATGCATATATTAATTATATCTTACCATTTTCTTTTTAAGATATTTTCATTTTCTTTTAATTTAAAATGAAGAAAAAAGAAAACAATTTAAACGTTTTTGTATATTTATATATTACTTTATTTTTCGCGCCAAAATATTTTATTTCAAAGAAGTTATTACGCTTACATCGAACTCATAAAGAAAATGAATTTATTGATCGATTAGCAATTTTCGATGTATAAATGTCTGAATAAGATAATATATTGTTTTAAAAAAACAAGATATAAAAGTAAAATTTTGTTGATCGTAACTGATATGACTTGAGTTGCACATTTTAAAATAAATTAGAGGAATTCAAATGGTTGTCATCGCGACGATTGTAAGTACAACAAAGGGAAAAGAAAATAGTCAAATATCAATGAAAATCGTACAATGTTTTAAGAGAAGCTAATGATAATAAATAAATATTTACATTGAATTCGTGCATTGCTTTTTTAAGATTCTGTTTCTCGGAAATTATAAATTTAGAAATGCATTTCGATTTCACCATGGCGACGAATATATCAATGAGGTTACCATTGATCTTTCAAACGCAAATAGATAGAATACATGCTATGAAACAAGAGCAAGGTATGTTGAAAACTATTTAAGCTATTACTTATTACTAATAAAATTAATTGAATTTGTGTATGTATTTTTGCATTGCGAGATACATTAAAAAAGTTTTTTAACTATTTGATTAGCATGTAATTACGTATAATATTATCTTCGTCATGTAGAAGAATAAAACAAAACATTAACATATTTACAAGAGTCTAAAAGAACACATTTTATTAGTTACAGGAAATCGTAATAAAGTTTGTTAATGTGTGCGTTCTACATCTTTGACATTGTACGTATAATTAAGTTGTAATAAAACGATCTAATCAATATTTGTTTTTAGATTTCAAACGTTATAATAATAACGGATTGTTAATTTATTTACATGATTTTAATATTTTCGTTTAGTAACGAAATTAAAAGTATGTTGACTTAATTTTGATTGCTTCAATATTTAATTATTTATTTAAAATATTAAATCGTAGGGAAGAGAATATGGCAGAGCATAGAGGAACATCGTTCTATAATTCTTGTGTGAAAGTACCCGTAGATCCATGTAGTAGACAACCAACTCCTTCTTACGAACGACCACGATCTATCAAAAGCGAAAAAGAAAATGTTGCGGACAAAGAACGAAAAATAATTTTCGTTGCGGACGATTTGCCAAAAACGGAATCGGAATTGTCGAGTCCTCGAGAAAATTTAGAAGGTTTCCTCGAATTTTTGGAGAGTATACCCGATTATAAACAAGTACATCATCTGTCTAACGAACAGTTTCGACAAAAGGTTGAATACTTGAGAAGGAAACAACGACTTTATTTAAAGAATTTAAAAAATATTTTCGACGAACCTGAGAAAAATACGTCAAAAATTTCAATATCGAGAAATAATCGCAATACGAAAGTTATGCGAGATGACGGTTCCAATGAATTAAGATTGAACGGTAAAAAATGTTACATCGAAGAATCGAGAACAAATAGTCCTATACTTTATCCATCCGGTAGTTTTTCTGGGCTTATGGAAGATCAAGATATTTTGACATATAGGTATAAAAAATTTATAATATCGAATTTTATTCAATTTGAAATTAATCATCGTCGTGACGAATTGATTAGTCGCGATGAATCTATTAATTTTCTCTTTTCCTCTTTATAATAGATTTAAGGATAAAGAAACTAAAGCTATACGTAATAAGGAAATATATACTACTAACAAAAATCGGAATAGATGGAGCGAATCAAAGAGCAATGAAAGTTTGAATAGTGATTCGAAAGATAGCGAGGAGACAAAGAGTCTGCCTGCGAGTGGTTCAAAGGAATGGCATCCGACTGTGCCTAAACCATTTAGCTTCACTCTTAGGTATAACATTTCTACATAAAATGTCTCTGCTTTGCATTTGTGAGAAAGAAAACGGAAATAATAACGGCACATAATAAATTGTTATTCAGAGAAGAAACGGAAAAATATATGACATTGACGGAAGTGGAAGCGGTCGATTATTCAAAGGAGGAAAGCAATAAGAAAGGTCCTTCTAAGAAACGTCGCGTCAGACCAATTCCTCTTACCTCTAAAATACCACTATATGATAAATTACTTGCAGAAAAAGAAGAGAGGTACTTTGTATTTCGTATGAATTAAGAAACGAAGTATTGATTCATAAATACATGCGCTGTTATAAGTAAAGAGATTATTAATTATTACGATAAAACGATTGTTATGATTCAGGAATTTATATGTGAAAAAGAAAAAAGATATATCATTTCATTGTAATATTAGAAAAAAGTTTATTGGAATAAAGTTTTATTTTTATTTCCTATTTAATTACAATAAATAGATAAAACGATATATTTTTTAGTATAATAACCTTTTTACTTATAACAGAACTTATTTGCGAATTAACCCAATAATAGTTTGTTTCTTTAGTTGTCTCTTTTAAATATAAACATTTTTATCATAAATAATTTATTTTCCGTTTTTATTGTATGATAAAGAAGTCGTATAGTCCGTGAGGAGAGTACATTGAACTTACTATCTCAAGTGCGTCCTTTCAAGCTCGAATGTGACCGGAGGGCGTGGAGATCTCTAACGCGGTCAAGTCCAGAAATATGTGGCAATAATTCTCGCTCAACTTCGAGATTCAAGGCAAAACCTGTACCTAAAAACTTGTTCGATACAGAGGTGTATGACCGTATGCTTGAGGATGAATATTATAGGTTAATATTTTATTATATTTTATTTTATTTTATTATAATATATCTCTTAACATTTGGTTATTCGATTTAAATGTGATAAAAATGCTAAATTTGTTATTAAATAGTTTCTACTTCATTCAGGAAATTATTATACAAATGAACGAATCATCGAACTTATTGGCATTCTTTTTCCCAGAGAATTAACAAAAAAAGTGAGGGCATCCGAATTAATGAGATCTTCCTCATTACCGCCTTCAATGGCAAGACGAGAGCGTGTCAAATCTGCATGTGCTCATTTGCAAACTTTTCCTAATGATTCAACAAAGGAAACGGTTGTTCAAAGTAGAGAATCTTCGCGATTATCAAATCTTACAACAATGACATCAGAGAGATCCAGATCTGCATTGACTAATTTACCAACACGGAGCAATAACTTAGCAGCTGTTCTCAGATGTCAAGCATCACGGTATTCTATTTTTAAAAAATTAATTTATGACTTTTTATGCATTAATTTTATATAAATTATTAAATAAGAAAGCATATCAATTTCAATTGGATAATTCAAATCAGTAGGATCATTATGTTTTTATTATTTCAGAGAAAAGTTAGAACGAGAGATAAAAGAACGAATGGAAGAGAAACGTCGGGAGCAAGCAGTTAAATTAAAAGAAAATCTTATCGGTCGTAAACCCGCGTGGAGAGCATTGAGATCCGCAGCGAGGTATCAAAGTTTGCTGCATTGAAAGTTCTTTCAAACGAATTTCTATGGATATTTTATTATAAAAATTTGGAAAAACTAAACGTACTTATATCTACACAAGTTGATTTGGTTTGCCGTTGAAAGGATATAGAAGTTAACGTTAAAATTATAAGATAAAATAATATTTAAAAAATGTAGGCACGATCACGAAAGAGATTTGGATATTCGAACATCCTTGCGTCGTAACGAAGCTCGAGAACAAGCGGAACGTCATCGTCTCCAAATGGAAATGATGTTGGATCGTGTAACACAGATACCAACTCTCTTCGAACGACATTCTCAGGTAAAGATATAACGATAATTCATTAGGAATGAAATATTAGAAATATTCGAAACCGGTAAGTTTATTTAGAGTTTCCAGTCTTTATCAAAGCTACAATCGAAAAATTATGGAACAAATGTGCAAAGGAAGAAACACAAGATACCAAAAAGAGATAATTCCAGTGGCACAAATTCGTACGTAAGTTATTACAGTAATTCAAGTCCAAATTCGGGATCACTTACTAGTTCTTCTACTATTTTGGCATCTTCGAATCAATCATCGAAGTCGACGGAATCAAAAGAATCTGAAAAATCTCTCGAAAAATCTGAAAATTCTGGTTCTAAAAAAAAAGGAGATCGCGGACCACTTAAAGTATCTATCAAAGAAATGGCAGAGTTAATTGAAGATAAATTATCTAGCGATCATTACAGCGAGGACTGCGATGAAGATGTATTACGAAGTGATAATGATATTCCGGAAGAATAAATATATGAGATAATAATTTAATAATTACGTTATATTTATTAGTAAATAAAAATGTTTTATAAGATAAGCGTAATAGTAATAGATAAATGCATTTATTATGGCCATTTATTTTATGTAATCCTTATGTAGATACAACCATATTAGTCGTACTCATTTTTTTTACGTAAAACAGAAAAAATGAGTTTCGTTTTAATTATTATAGTCATTATGTAATCCGATCGTCTTTATTCCATAAACTGTAATTTATTATAATATATGCAATAAATAATGAACTATGTTTCATTCGTTTCTAATGATATACATATACGTAGAGATTAAATTTATATACATCATAAAAAATAAATATATTTAAATATTAATATTTGTATGAAGTGTTAATATATCAAACAATACGTTGAAGTAAATACATAAACATTGTAATTCAAATATTTTCCTTTTTTTTTTTTTACAAAGATATAATTTTTATATAAATATATATTTGTCGATACGAGATTTATATATTGATTAGGAAATTAAAAATAATTGATTAAATAGGAATAATTTCTTCTAATTTGTTGTAACAACACCAGTGTTACTATTACAAAAAAAAACTTTAATAAAAAAGTACAAAATAATATGTAATCGATTAAATTAATTCCTTATAGTATTTAAAATCCAATCTATATAATATCTAACGTTAGTATAAACGCCTGGGAAACCTTCTGTACCGCAGTTTTTCAATCCGAAACTGACAACCCCATATTGAATGAATCGAGCGTTATTATTGTATAATCCAGGCGCTTGAAGAGGTCCACCACTGTCTCCAAAACAAGAATCCATATTTTTTTTTCCACCAGCGCATAACTGTTTGTACCAAATTTCAGCTTTAGTCTTATAAATCTCTTTGCATTCTTCCGTGGCTATCGGTGTCAGACCAAGCTGCAACAGGTCGTTGCTTCGCGTTCCAAGTTCTGTCGCTCCCCAGCCTGTGACGATCAACTTTTGATTGAAAAAAAAAAATATATATATATATATATCAATAAATCAATCAAGAAATGTAAATTTCTGTTTGTTATATGTTATTCTTAATGTTTGTATTCATTAATTTTAAACTCTTTAGAACTTTTTAATATGAATTAGCTGTGAAGTTGATTAATCTTACGATGTCATGTACAATATCGAAGAACAATATGAATGTATTAAAAATTATTATTATAATAACAACGATTTATTTTACCTTTCTCGGAAGTGTTCCAGTATTACTGATTGGTAAACAGATTGGTTTAACATTTCTAGGTCTGAAATCAACATCGCCGTTCAATCGTATCAGGGCGATATCATTTTGAAGTTTTGTTCTCGTGTATCCCGGATGAACGTGTGTACTTTCAATATCATAATCTTGATATTTCTCCGCACAAGCTACTTCCGTCCCATTTTCATCTTTATCACAGTCACGTTCCGTTCTAAGATCATGCTCTCCTATTCTCGCTCCTACTAGCGTTAATTCTGAAAGATATCGTATAAATCATTACAACTATAATCATAAAAAATAAATTCTCACTTTAAGAAAAATATATACTCTTTGTAATACACACACACGCGTGCGCGTGCGTTATAGATTATGATTGACTGTCATAATAATCGCGATTATTAAGATAAGAATTTTACCGCTAGGTAAAGAGCTAACACAATGGGCAGCTGTAAGGATATATCGTTTAGTAATCAAGGAACCACCGCATCGAAAATCCCGATTTTGTCTCCCTGTGGAGTAAGCGAGAAGAGCCATCCACGGATAATCAAAGACACTAGTTTTGTTGCCACCAATGATTCTACTTTTAGTTAGAGGACCACATATATCGTGGTTTAAGATTCGTAAATTTGGATGGTTTGATACATCCGGAGGATCGGTAAATTCATCGACATATAAATCCGTAGAAGTAACAGATGTTGTCATCTGAAACAAATAAATGGAGTTTATAACATTTATACGTCGTTTTATATTTTATCGATCGTCTTTAAATAAGTTAGATTGGTGACAAATCAAATATTAACAAAAATATTGTAAATTAGATATTTTAAACAGAATATAGAATTAGTTAGGTCTTACGAGACAACAGATATTTAGATATTTATTTCTATGATATTTGATATTTCTTTCATTTGTAAAGATCATCTAATATCTTAAACAAAGAAGATGGTAATAAGGTAATCTCAAGGTAATCTTAAGGTAGATCTGATGATTAAGCACATAATACGCGTACTGCACACGTGACTGGTTAAACGATGGATTAAAGTAGCCTATTGGTCGTCATGGTTGCATTAAGATTTTATGATAGTTTCACGGAATGTTGTCGTTACGAGTTTAACCAAGGAAATTTCTGGTTGAAAGTGATACGCCATAGGGAAAGTGATACGTATGAAAACAGTATGTAACGGTAAGAAAAACAGTCATCATCGTAACTGAAATATTTGATAATCACAAAAGGAAACACTTCCTTGATTCATTAAATAATAGTATCCCATGACTTCCTCAATAAATTTTCAAGGAAATTGAGGATAAAGAGTTAATTGAGGAAATTCCTTATATCGTAATATATCATATTTCATATTATTTACCTTGTAGGATTTTAGAAAGGAAAAAAAGTGTCTATCTGTCAATTTTTATCTTATTTCGGTAAAATTAAATGTTAAAAAAATTTGCCTTTTATATATATATATATATATATATATATATATATATACATATATATATGTATATATATACATATATATATATACATACATATTTTATATATATATATAAAATATTATTAAAATTTCCATTAAACTTATTCTTTTTAAAAATGAGAATTTTACTTAGTTGTTAAAAAATAAGATTTTTATTCTTACAATTATAATATTAATTCGGCAATAAAATTTTTCAAAAAGATTCAGCGTGATATAACAAATTTGAATGAAATTTTATTTGTTTAAATAAGTAATATAAACTTACTTGATCAGAACAGCAAATTTTTGGAATCCTATCCTCGAAACCGCATTGCGATGCTCTTAGAAATTCAATAATTTCTTGTGTTAAAGGCTTTTGATTTATTAAAATGTTAACAATATATGTGCAATTATTTATGTTCATACAAATACCACTGCTTTTCGTAGGCGTCACACATCTTTCCTCTGCAAAAAAAAAAAAAACAATGATAGAACTTATCAGAATAGTTTTTTTTTATCGTGTATCTATAAATAAATTTTACATGATTTATTGAAACAAAAATACAAAATATAATCTCTTTATTCTCGCTATTTCTTGGAAAGAGCTGACATCCTCTCATACATGTAGATAAAAAATGTACGAAGAATAATTTTTCTATTGATAAATAAAATACATATACGTTCAATTTCAAAACAAACAAGTTTTATAACGAGTATAAAGTTGTTATGCATGTTTTTTTTTTTTTATATAATATTTTCTACGATCTTTCTACGATTTAGAATTGATATATTATACGAATGAACAAATTGCGGCTCTTAGTACAATAATCAATTTCCAAAATAATTTATACAAGAATGTATTATAAATTGCTCTCTAAATTTTTTTTTTCTTAAAAAATATAGAGAATTTCTTTATTATAAATTTTCTTATTTTACAATTTTTTCTCCAGTTAAAACAAAAAATTGTTTAATTGATAGTATATAAAATGGATAGATCTTGTTTAACCAAACAGAACCTTTATACTTTGTTTTTTTGCGCGTTAGAAAAGAAAAAAAAGAATAAAAAATAATTCTGAGAGCTATTAAAACATATAATTGATTATTCTAACTGATCATGATAATTGTTCTAATATTATTGGGAAATGTTTTTAATAAAAATATTAGAAAGGAACAATGCGCTGAAAATGTATTTTAAAATATAACTTTTTTCACCCTTGATAATATATTACTTTCAGATCGAAAATTGAATAATTATCTTTGTATAAAATACTACATTGTATAAAAGAAAAAGAAACGAACTAATATTATGTACAATAACTTTGACTCGAAGATGAATGAAAAGCAAGAAACAACGAATCGTCGAAATATTTTTTTTCCTGTATAATTCATAACTTTATTGCGAGAACAAGGAAAAATATAACAAAATAATAAATCTGATACTTACGTGCATTCGTGTACGTGAAAAATGGCACTAATGCTGTGATGTATAAAGCATGTACTATCGTATTCATCATTTTGGCTTTTAAATTTACTCAATCGTTGATCGATTCACTTAAAAATTCTGTTTATTTTTCTCTTTCTTTATCTTTTCAAATGAAAATTAAAAAAAGTGTAAGAGAGTAAGAGAAAGAGTTATCTCCACAGCATATCGTATTGCGAACTGAGTGTAAAACCGATATTAACGAATATTTATATTATTTTTCTCGATGAGAGATGAAGCCAATCTAAATCGGTTCCTCTGTATTCAAATCTGTTTATTATATTCTTCGTGAATGAGAGAACGTTTTTTGAGAGAGATAAAGAAACAATCTCTTCGACGGTCAGCGACTAACTACTGTCGATTGACGCTTTCTATCTCACTGCTTCATCGGCTGTCTTCGTGTATTGGTCCTTGAATCCTTTTGTAAGAGTGGGGGATCCTTTTTAGAACGTTGCGAAAATATTAACAAACTTCTCTGACATTGACCTATTCGATAAGACTTCTTGTACATATACATATATACATATATATATATTTTTTTCTTTCACACATTTTAATCTCTTTTATAATGTCTAATACGAAAAATATAATCTTTAAAAATATTCATTAAAAATCCTTAAAATTCTCGAATCGATAAAGATTCTTGCTCCACCTAATTGTTCCAAGTACTAATTAAATTATTAAGCCATTAGTTTAGTCTGGAATTAATAACGCTTGAGGAAATTTATAAATCGATAGATAATCATAGCTCGCGATATGAGGAAAGTCATGATACTTTACTTAAAAACATTAAGAAAATGCTAATATCGTAGATACAGTATAATTCTTGTTAAATTCTCTTCGATTAACCGTTACGTGTATATCTCGTTATTGAGATGACCATACAAGTGATTTTAGCACATTGCGTACGGTATTCTGTTCGCTCAACGCGCTTCTAAGATCCGCATATTTTTGAGCACTCTAAAAGAACCTTGTATAATACATATAGACGACTTTTTAAGTTCACATTTATAAAGTATTCTTAAATATTATTATTATAAAAAATATGCAATGCTTCATTGTCTTGATAATCAATTTATTTTTAATTTATTGAGTCGTCGATACGTCCGTATGAAAAAATATTAAAACGATATATTTAGTAACAGGGCTAGTAAAAGTTCAGTTTATTATATACGTAATATCTCTTAACACACACACAATGTGTTAACAGTTATCTGTGAAGAACACAATGGTATGTATATATTTACGTGTGTGTATGCATGTGTCTATTATTTATCTATGTATACATGATATAAATAAATATATACGTTAATATGACACAAATTTGTACATAATAATATAGCAGAATCGACAAAGAAAACAAAGATAAGAGAATTCGATATGTAATTGGTCTATTAACTAAATAAATTTTAAATAAATTTGAACAGGATATTTTTCTTTTTTTATGCGTTAATAAAATATTTGGAATCATTATTCATATAATTATTATGAAAGTTTCCAAACACTCATAACTTAATTAAGAGAATATATTGAAAATTAATCTTTACTTTGATAAGAACATGTTAGGTTAGAATTGACATAGGAATTTCCCGGTTCACATTCGTTATAGATCGTCATTTTATTACATTCGAAATGAAATGTAATAAACGAAAAAAATAAAAAAATAACTGCAAATTAGATGGATTTCTAGAAGAATACCATCCCACCATTTTAAAATCCACATGTTACAATTTATTCGCTCTTTCGTCACGAAAATCTTAATCGATAGATTTTTAAACATTTCCAATGATCCTGAATCATACGATAACCTTTCGAAATCTATCGTCGATTGCTTCGAGTGTTTTTTTTATCTTTCTTTTAATCTATAACTCTTAGATTGTTTCTTAAATTTATTAAAGAAGAGAATTATTAGGTAAAATAAATATAAACATCTTAGATTATACGTGCGACAAATAGTAGAAAAAAAGAATTTTATTCTTCCGATTAAGAAGTCGATAGAAACAATTCATTGATAATTTCTAAATTAAAAAAATAGTTAATATAGCAATATATCGCTTAAATATAAATTAAATTCGACATGTTCCTTTATGAGTAATTACAGTTGTTCGTCAAAGGTCAAGTACATGGTCTATTGTACTCCGGCAGTTTTCTTCCTTGCTTTTGTTTTTTCTTTCTTATCTCTTTTATTCTTTATATCTTAAGATTCTTAAAACTAATATAAATATAGTTTCACGTAGAATTATTAAGTACGAGAGTAAAATTTCTTTTAATTATCGGTCGGTTTTAATTAAAATACATTTTGCAAAGGAAAAAAAAAGAGAAGAAATAACAACGATAAAAAGAGAAGGAAGAAATTAGAAAGAATAGGAATACGAGAAAGTACAAAATCCCTCTAATAGTTTTCTTAAGACCTTATCTTACTAGTTATCCATGGAACAAAATCATAAACTTTAGTATAAACACCAGGCCAACCAGGCATACCACAGGGTGTAGGACCAAAGGATACAACTCCTACGGCTGCCCATATTCCATTACCGTTAGATGAATTTTCAACAGACATGAGTGGTCCACCTGAATCTCCTCTACATGAATCTTTACCTTTCTGACCACCGGCACAAATTTGTCCGAAACCGAGCCTGATACCAACTTGATTATAAGTTCTATCGCAATCATTTTTATCGGTCAAAGGTAATGCTAGTTTTAGCTTAAAGTCCGAAGACGAATTGTATTCCGTTTTACCCCAACCTGCTACGTACATTTTTTGACCAAATGAAGGAGTTCGTGGCAAACAAATTGGCTTTATATAATTTGTCGAGACGATGTTCCTTGACAATCTCAATAATGCGATATCATATTTCTGATCTTTCGACAATGGTCTGTATTGTTCATGAGCAATTTGTTCTTCGATGCCTACTGTGATCGGATCATCGGAGCATATAACTTCGTCTTCCTCTTGAATGCAATCTTTATCGGAGGAGGTATCGTATTCGCCTAATCGTACGCTTGTTAACGTCCACGTTGGTGGTAAATCCTTACCCTTTATGCAATGAGCAGCAGTAAGTACATAACGTTCGTTAATCAAAACTCCTCCGCAGGCAGTAGTTCGTCCTCTTGCTAAAATAAATTATTACAGATAGGTCAAGATCCCTTATACGATAAAAATAAATATTAATAACTTTAGCTCTTAATTACTCACGATGTTGATATTCCAACAGAGCCATCCATGGAAACTCATCAAGAGCAGTACGTTGTCCTCCAATGATTCGAGGTATCAAACTTTTTCCGCATTCGCTTGGTAATAAAGGATTATCAAGTAAATTGCTGACGGGATCGTCTGTTTTTTCTAATGCACTATGTTTTTCTTCTGTAGGTGGTACAGTCCCCGGATAAGAAGGTTGACTGATTCGATTTGATTCGACAGTAGAGAGAGGACAACATACACGAGGATCTTTGCCTTCGAAGCCACATTGAGATCGTATTAGATAATCCACGGTTTCCGGTCGGAGAGGCTTCTCTTGAAGCATAGTCAATAATGGTATACATTGACGGATTGTAATACAATTTCCAGCAATTTCATTTGGCGTATTGCAATCAGATTGTCTTGGAAATTCTATGAAAAAAAACACAGACATACATTATATAATGCAACAAAGATCAGAATTTCCAAATCTATTTTTAATGTTCTTTATAATAATCTTGATGATGATATGTACATTCGAAATTTATTATAAAAGATTTGAAAAATTATGTAACACATCATCGTAACATATATTGTTTTGATAAATAATCAGGATAAAAAAGAATAATACTCGTATTTTTTCGATTGCACATAACACATTTAAAAAGATCAAGATAAATAGTGTTGTAATTATTAACTAACGTATTAACTAAGGATTTTTCCACGACATCATTCTCATCATATCCAGCTTCGTACTCATGATTAACTAATCGAAACGATCTTGTTAAGAAGAAGAAGAGACATAAAAGATTATTTAAATCAGTCAATATATCATATTTGATGTGTTTAAATATATATAATCATTAACTACGACTGTGTTTATTAGTGGAAATCGTCGATCATTAAAATTGATGACTTCATAAGCAGAAATCACTTAGATAAACATTTTTATTTCATATTAAAGACATTTTAATAATAATTTTTAACTTTTAAATAATAATTTATAAAAGTAAATTTTATAAATGACAAAATACAATGGCTTTAAATAATTAACACATGTTCTAGCAGAATCTATGTTTAATTACATATTGTAATTAAAATATCTAATTAACGTAGTGATTAATGTTGGAATAATATTAATAGAAATATCAATGAATCGTTTGATAAGAAGAATGAAAATATGAAAAAAGGTAATGGAACCAAAAATACAAAATTTTTAATTACTTACGCGCATCGACGGTACTAAACGTTGATACATAGAAGATAGCAATCATAGCAACAAAGGAATACATTCTTAATATCGAATCTTTATTAAACGATTAAAAGCAAACAGAAAATTTCGTATCCACGTATAACGTTGATGAACCGCAAATCTTGTCGCTATGCTGGAAGTCTGAGCATCAACTGACACCGCAAACGATGAGGGACTGAAGCCATGGTCAACTAGTGTCTCCCACTACAGCATCATAGATCTGACTAATTGGCCTCCGGCCGTTTACGTATTTTACATTTCTCTTTTCAGGCAATTTCTGACAATACTTCCTCCTTCTATTTAACTTATCTCTTCCAACATCTTATGCGAATAAAAAAAATACAAATATCTCAGTAATAAAATTTATCAAAGTTGCAATTAAATGAAATGAAACGAAGTATTTCTGTTTTCTTTAGCTTCATTAATTATCGAAATAAATATAAATTTTTGTTCTCATCTTTCTACAATGCAATATTGTTTATAATAATTAAATTCTATTATTATTGTATATTAATTTTGTAAAACAATATTTTTACGATTTTATAGATCATTACTATCAAACATAAATACATACATATACGTACTTATTCTAGATAGGAATACATTGAATTCCCCTGTGATATTCTTCCTGGTAATTTTAAGCAGAATGCAAATGAATGGGCATGGACTCTTTTCCAAGGTAAATTACTTACGTATAAAATTACTAGGTATTTCAATGTAACATTCACAATAAGTAAAAAAAGTAAGACTTTCCTAAGAATTCGTTATTTCATTCTATTATATAATATTAACAATATATCTAAATATGTATATATTATTCGATGAATATTTTATGAATTAATATTATCAAGTATCCAAATGATGTAATGAGATATTTTGGTGTAAACACCAGGACTTGTTGTGGCACCACAATCTTCTACACCGAAAGAAACGATTCCGATGATGTAATATTTTGGTAATTCGTCAATGGTTTCGACTTTCATTAAAGGTCCACCGCTATCTCCACGACAGGAATCTATACCGATAACACCTCCAACGCATATTTGTTGATCGCTTATTGTAGCACGCGTTTTAAAAATTTCCCTACATTTTCTCGTTTCTTGGATCGGCATTGTGATCGTTTGAAGCAATTTGCTTGATTTAGAAGTTTCTGTTATAAATTTAAAATTAATGTATAAAAATGAAAACAAAAAATATTTATAAAAAAGAAAAGGATAATCTCACTCTCTTAAAAGGAAAAAGATTTTCACCTATGTCGTATATTCCCCAGCCAGCAACTTCCACCATTTCACCGATATAATTTTTTTTAAGCAAATCACTATGTGGCATGCAAATAGGTGTTACAAATTCTATACAAATAATAATATTATATCATAATATAAACTTGGATATCGACGGTGAATTAATTTAATCAAATGTTTTTCTACTTGCCATTATAAATAGCGGGCTTATCCAAACGTATTATAGCAATGTCATTTCTAAACCTCGGATGATTGTAATCTTTATGAACAATGATAGATTTTATTTTAATATCTTGAACTGGTTCGGCACAGTATCCTTTTTCACAATCAGGATCTGTCATCGTGTTATATTCTCCTAATCGAACATCGGTGATTTTAAGCCTTTTTAAATCGTTGAAATAAACAAAATTGACATGAAATCACACCAACGAAAAGTATATATAGAATGACCAATTTTAATCGATCCATGTAAATATCATGAAAATTATTATTAGTGATAATTAAAATATTAATAAAAAATCATTTACCATTTTGGTAAGTTTGTCGCGCAATGTGCAGCTGTTACTACATTGTATTTATTAATTAAAGTACCACCGCATATAAAATTCAATCCCTTAAAATTTATTGGATTAGATTTAACTATGATGTATCCTATTCTAGCAATCCACGGATACGCACCCATATTAGCATTTTTACCACCTATAATACGATCGGTATTGGAATTGCCACATTTATCATGGTCTAAGAGTAACCAATTCGAGTGATGCATTACGTTAACTGTTAATGAGAATTTAATAATCGCGTATTTGCATATATATTATTTCTTTATAATTATTTAATATTATAATTAATTACAATTTTCATACCATCTGATGACACGATCAAACGAACGGAAAAATTACCCAAAATAAAGATATACAGCCAATAAAAAAACATTGTCTAAAACAATCAGAGTATTCATCAATTATTTATTCTCTCTAATTAATGTAATTTTGTGCGTCTTTTAAATAAATAATCGATTGATAAATTTAAAACAAAAAAAATTTTAATCATTCTTACCTTAAAATGATCTAATAGAGTACGTGGAAAAATTCTCGAAGAACGATACCTCAATTCTAAAAGCAATCAATCGTTTAAAAGAAAATTAAGTACGAATAGCGGTGATTCGACTTCTGTTTAAATTTCAACTTATCGGACTAATAAACGAATGTTGCAATTATACGTCAATTATTTTACCTATAAATTACCATTATGCTTCATATTTAAGACCTTTTATTTATAAATTTTAAAAATCATTATACTAATATCGAATATTACTTTATAATATATATTCTATGAAAAAACATTAAAAAAGATATCTCGTAACCTGGCTACAAAGTTTGGTTTGTTATATACGAGATATCTCATGAATCACACGCAATGTGTTAATAAGCATACCTTACATTAAATATTAAACAAATGAAGATCTTCAAATATGTTTTTCTTGGCGAGCGTCAACACACTTTATTTATTTGAAAATGGAAAACAGTTTTTTTTATAAATTACGAAAATGATCTTGGAGGACGAAATCTCGATGTATTCGTCCTCTTGGCGATTAATGTTTTTATCTTGATTTATTCGATCTGCATCAAAGAAATTTTAAATTAGATAAATATAGAAATTATTGCGAAAAATTTATGTGAATCTTTTAAACATAACTATGGTAAATATTTATTTTTAATATAAGAAATTATATACATATAAATTTTGTCTAAATTAAATAATTAATTATAAATAATTTGTAGACTTCTCATCGAAAAATTTGTTGTTGCCCCTATGTTCATAAATGTCAAAAATTTTTTCCTAAAGGTGAGAAAAATTTCTTTCATTATTGAAAAATTAATGTTTTACTCATTTATTGAATATTTTTCTAATTTAATACTTAGACAAAAGTCAAGAAGGATATATAAGAAATGATAATTTCATCCTCATTGGTGTTAAATATATATTAGACTTATATCACAGTACAAGTAAAAGTATTCTTGCAGATGATTTTTTGAGGTCCGTGGTAGTATCAATAACATTATTTGCAATTGGTACACAGCTTACTAGAGAACTATATACTTCAAAACTTTCACCAATTCTTCGTTGTAATTATAATTTTATTGATACACTTTGTATAACTAGTTTATAACTTATATTAATTCAATTATCTTACAATCTGTAATTATTCTACATCTAAAATCATAAACAAAATTTACTATATATATCTACTATATATATGTTGTATGTATATATATATATGTATTTATTTATTAGTATTATAAAAAATATTTATTTCAAATTATATGATAATTAAACAGTATACTTATAAATATAGCATAAATTTCTGATATATAAAATAATGGATTGGATTACAATGAATAAACAAATGTAAAAATATGACATTAACTATCAATAAATAAATAAGAGAAAATAAAAATTTATTTGGTCTGCTATTGCAGTAAGTTTTTAGAATTTAGATTCTACTGCTGTAATGTCAGTGGAAGTTGCAACTTCATTTTTTTCAACATTTTCTACTAGATTATTTATTACCAAAACTTCATTAGCAACTTCATTCTTTTTATCTACTTTTTCATTTTTAGAATCTACTATTTTTTCTTCACTTTTTTCAAATGAAATGTCATTAGAAACTTCATTCTCTTTATTTATTTTTTCCTTTTTAAAATCTACTATTTTTTCTTCATTACTTTCAATTGAAATGTCATCAACAACTTCATTTTTTGTTTGTACTTTTTCATTTTTAGAATCTATTATTTTCTTTTCACTATTTTCAACTGAAACGTCATTAGAAACTTCATTCTTTTTATCTACTTTTTCATTTTTAAAATCTACTATTTTTTCTTCACTACTTCCCAGTGAAATGTCATTAGAAACTTCATTCTCTTTATCTACTTTTTCATTTTTAGAATCTACTATTTTTTCTTCATTACTTTCAATTGAAATGCCATCAGCATCTTCATTTTTTTTATTTATTTTTTCATTTTTAGAATCTACTATTTTTTCTTCACTATTTTCAACTGAAATGTCTATACATGCATTCACATTTTCAGAATTAATTGAATTTACAGCTTTTGTTTCATATAATTTATCATTATCTCTTTCAGTTTCATCACTAGAACGCTCACTTTCATTAGATATTTGTTGCTCGAATTTATTAAATTTTACTGGCTCACTATTTTCTATATCACTATCATCTGAAGTATCAAGCTCATCAGAATCAATATCTAAATCCAGTATTGTTTTCTTCTTATTACTCTTAACTTCCTCTTCACATTTTCTTTTAATACTTGAACCTCCAGCAATAGCAACTTTAAATCCTTCTTCTACCGCATCTCCAATTTTTTCTGTCAAAATTGATCTCTCTTTTTCATAATTTTGATCTTTAAACTCATGCTTTGGTTCTGCACAAAGCCTTTCTAACTTTTTCTTTTTACGTTCAGCTGCTTCCTCTTTACGTTTTGCTTGCTTTTCAATCCAAGCTTTAAGTCTTTTTTCTTCATTTATATCTCTTAATCTGCGTCCGCTCAAATCTCTGCAAGCCTCGCGATTTGTAGTTTTTTCAATTTGAGCACCTATGGCCCGTAACATAGAGCCAAAACCACCTTTTCCACCCAATAATTTTGGAATAATAGTTACGCAACCATGCAAGAATATATTACTTTCATTAATAGTGCGGCCATTATGAACTATGTAAAAATTTTCTCTTGATACACCCTATATAAAAATAAAGTATTATACATAAATTAATACTAATAATTTACTTATAAGTTATCTCCGGGATATAAGTATCAAGAATGACAATACAATCAATTACAAGGTTAGATTTTGTATTCTCTACTTACAATTATTTCTTCAAACCGCTCCCATATTTTATCGACTGAAAACAATTCATCACTAATAAATATGTGTTTTGTAGTTTTTCCAGTACAAATTTGTACATTTATCATAATTATACTTTATTTATTTTCAAAGATCTATAAAGAAATAACACACAATTCTTGTAATAGATCACAATATGTTGGTAGAAATAATAATATCGTATCACTGCGCCATCTACCTTTGCAAAATAAAATTAAAATTTTGAAATTCGACCAATGAAATACTACTTTAAAATAACTAAACTTGAAAAGTAATCTCTATATAAATTTTCTAACATAATGCTATACCGCGCTTTGGAAAAGAATTTGATTATTTCCCGCCAAATTTATAGCAGCAAATGGCTGTAATATTTTACTGTAACCATAAACGGTGTTAAGTATTTAATATGGAAGGGTTTGACAATCCAGGTATATTCTTTTCAGATAATTTTTCTGTAGATGAAGCTTCTGAATCTCAAAGTAATTTACAAGCTTCTAAAAAAAAATTCAAAGAATTTATCAGACAATTTCATGAAGGTAATTTTAATTACAAATATAGGTGCGTAATTTATATAATTATTTTATGAATAATTACTTTCATTTTTAATAATTTATAAAATATTAAATCAATGTGTATATACATCTATAATTTATTCTTAATTTCGATATCAGAGACACTCTCAAAAGAAATTATAATCTTGGTCAATATTACCTTGAGATTAATTTAGAAGATTTGGCTGCTTTTGATGAGTCTCTTGCCGAAAAAGTTCATAAACTTCCAACGGAATACCTATCAATCCTTGAAGAAGCAGCACAAGATGTTGCTGATGAACTTACAGCTCCTCGTCCTGAAGGAGAAGAAAAAGTTGAAGACATACAAATACTTTTATCGTCTGATGCACATCCAAGTTCTTTAAGAGGCATGAAGGTAATTAGTAGAATAATCTGTAGACTATTATTTTTTATTATTTTTATTATTTCTAACATGAAAAAGTAAATATATTTTCTTGATTTTTCATATAAAATATTTTATATCTATAGCCAGACATTGTATCAAAACTTATAAAAATTCCTGGTATTGTTGTTTCTGCTTCTGGAATTAGATCTAAAGCAACAAAAATTGCAATACAATGTCGTTCATGTAGAGTTGTGCAAACTAACATTGCTATTAAACCAGGATTAGAAGGTTATGCTCTACCAAGAAAATGCACTACGTATGTATTCTACAACACAAAATATTATCTCTCCTATTTTTATTTCAATAGAAAATAACCTCAAATAACATAACATAATTAATATAATAAACATTATTTTTAGAGAACAGGCTGGTAGACCAAAATGTCCGTTGGATCCATTTTTTATAATGCCAGATAAATGTAAATGTGTTGATTTCCAAGTTTTAAAATTACAAGAATTACCAGAACATATTCCACAGGGTGAAATGCCAAGGCATCTGCAATTATATTGTGATCGTTATTTATGTGATAGAGTTGTACCTGGAAATAGAGTTCTTATTCTTGGTATATATTCCATTAAAAAAGTTTCCAAAACAGGCGATAGAGGAAACAGAAAAGATAAAGCTTTAGTTGGTGTGCGAGCACCTTATATAAGAGTTGTGGGTATTTTTGTTGATGGAGAAAACACAGGAAGTGGTAAAATCTGTTATTACTATAAAAATCTTAATTTACATGGTTTAAAACTCTTTTCTTACAAAATAATATTAATACATGGCTTTTAGGTGTACAAACATGTATTACATCAGAGGAAGAAGACTTATTCAGACATTTAGCAGCCGATTCAAATTTATATGAAAGAATTGCAAAGAGTATTGCTCCCAGTATTTTTGGTGCAATGGACATTAAGAAAGCAATTGCATGTTTATTATTTGGTGGTTCTAGAAAAAGAATGCCCGATGGTTTATGTCGGAGAGGAGACATTAATGTTTTAATGTTAGGTGATCCAGGTACTGCTAAATCACAATTATTAAAATTTGTAGAGACAGTTGCACCGATTGGTGTGTATACATCCGGCAAAGGAAGCTCAGCTGCAGGTCTTACGGCGTCTGTATCTAGAGATTCTGTTACGGTGAGTAATAATAATATACTATTAATACATTTCTTTTGTCTTCTTTTATAAATACTTTGGTCATTTATAGAGAAACTTTGTAATGGAAGGTGGTGCAATGGTATTAGCAGACGGTGGTGTTGTTTGCATAGATGAATTTGACAAAATGAAAGAAGATGATCGAGTTGCGATTCATGAAGCTATGGAACAGCAAACCATATCAATTGCAAAAGCAGGCATAACAACGACTTTAAATACAAGATGTTCTGTACTAGCAGCTGCAAATTCTATTTTTGGACGATGGGATGATATAAAAGGCGAAGAAAATATAGATTTTATGCCAACTATTCTTTCTCGTTTTGATATGATATTCATTGTCAAAGATGAACATGAAGAAAATAGAGATATTACATTAGCGAAGCACGTTTTAAATATACATAGTAATGCTGGTCAATTAACTGAACAACTGATAGAAGGAGAACTTCCATTACATATACTCAAAAGATATATACATTATTGTAGATTGTAAGATTAATTTTTTATTACTTTTTGTATTCTACAAACATCATAATCCACGTTATGTGATCAACGTAATTATGCGATTTCTACAGAAAATCTGGTCCAAGACTTAATAAAGAAGCAGGTGAAAAACTGAAGAATCATTATGTAAGAATGCGTGCTAGTACGAGAGAGCATGAAAAAGGAAGTGAAAAACGATTATCCATACCCATCACTGTCCGTCAATTAGAAGCTGTTATAAGAATTTCTGAGGCTTTGGCAAAAATGCAACTTCAATCTTTCGCTACTGAAATTCATGTTAATGAAGCACTCAGACTATTTCAAGTTTCTACATTAGATGCTGCTATGTCTGGTTCATTAGCTGGTAAGATGTGTGTGTGTGTGTGTGTGTGTGTGTGTGTGTGTGTGTGTGTGTGTGTGACAAATATCTAGTAATTATTAATTAAAAACAAGAAAATTATTTTTATAACATACGAGTCCTTAATATTAATACATCATATTTTACAGGTGCCGAAGGATTCACTTCAGAAGAAGATAATGAGATATTGTCTCGCATTGAAAAACAATTAAAAAATAGATTCCCTATTGGAAATCAAGTCTCAGAACAAAACATTGTTAATGACTTTCTTAAACAAAAATATCCAGAACGTGCTATTTACAAAGTTATACACACAATGATTCGTCGTGGAGAGCTTCAACATCGGATGCAACGAAAAATGTTGTACAGGTTATATTAAAATATAAGAAAAGCTTTCATTGTATAATTATTTTTGTGCATTTTGTTCAGTTCTCCATACAATTTACTGTTTTATTTTTTATATATAATTCTGTATTTTTAAATAATGTAACAAGAGCAAATCTCTGGCTCATGGTGTCAATTCATTTTTAAATGGATAAAGTGGGTGCTTTTCAACCCTAAAATAAAGATAAGATTGAAAATATATGAAAAAAAATATGATGTACTCAAATTATTTTAAATAATGAAATATTGAAAAATTATTACAGTTAAGGTTTATTACTTACCCTTTAAAAAAAAGAAAATTGAATATTCGGCCATCTGTACCTTTGTCTAAAGCATTTAAAGTATTTATATCTTCTTCTGTTAAAATGAAATCAAAAATATTAATATTTGATTTGATTCTATCTTGTGAAGAACTTTTTGGAATAACTATAATTCCTTGTTGAACCAAATGTCGTAATAACACTTGTGCTGTTGTTTTTTTATATTTATTAGCCATTTCAATTACAATAGGATGTCCAAGAAGATCGGGGAATTTTTCTGGACTATAATTATATTTCGTTTGAAAATGGAATTTAGCTCCAGGTGACGCTAATGGGCTGTAAGCTGTTACAATAATATTGTGCTTTTGACAAAATTCTCTTATCGGTTTCTGTTGTAGGTATGCATGCAATTCAACCTATTAAAAAATATATTTACATTGACTGTTCTTTTTGATCATAAAATTATACAGTAAGTTTATGATATCAACAGCATGTATACCTGCAAGTTGGATGGTTTTATTTGTGCATTTTTATATACTTCTAATATTTGTGCTTCATTAAAATTACTTAAACCTATAGATTTAACACGTCCTTTTGCTACTTGTTTCTCCATTTCCTACAAATATTAAATAATTATAATATTATTAGGTGCAGCTGGAAAGAGAAGTACTTATATCTATGATATTAATTGCATGTTATACCTTCCATACAGAAACTGGATCCGTGTCTAGGTCAAGTATATAACTACCATCTTCTAAAGCTGCAGGAGCATATGCATTTTTATCTAATACAAAGGCAAATGGCATGTGAATCAGATACATATCCAAATAATCCAAACCAAGGCGTTCTAATGATAATTTAAGAAACTTTTCAACATCTGATGGTCGATTTCCATAATGGGGTAACTACAAAAATATAATTTACTTTTTTAATATACTTATTAAAAAATATAAAATTCTCATTCTTTTCATATTTGATTTTTCCTATTACCTTTGACGTAACAAAAAGTTTTTCACGTTTACCACCTTTGTCAAACCAATTTTTTAAGCTTTTTCCAATCGCTTCTTCGTTATTATAATTAAATGCAGTATCAATATGTCTGTAACCACACTCCAAAGCAGTCGCAACAGCAGCTTCAATTTCTTCAGGTTTAGCCTTGTAAATGTAATAAAAGAGAAGATATATTTAATTTGTAGATAAATAATTATAATAATATATTTTCTATTATTATATTATTTATTAAAAATCTTATTATGTGAAGAGTCTATTTTATCACCTGCCATGTCCCTAAACCTACAGCAGGCATATCATGACCAGATGATAATTTTACAGAATGCATATTTATTCTTCTATAGTTGAGATCTGAAAATAATGTTTATTTTGTTATACAATGCATAGGAACGTGTTTTATGCTTTAATTTTCTACAAAATATGCTGTTTTCAATAGATAATTTTTGATGATATTAATATCAAGCAAATACGCGATTAGTTTTCTAAGTACTGCTGATATTTCGCTAGAGACTGTTGCTAAAGTTAGACCTGGCCCTCTTTTCTCGACATATAGATTGCAAGCAGTATGTGCAAAGTATCATGTATATATATGGTTCAATGTATAAGTATCGATTTGCAGCTTGCCTTGCGCATGAAACTATTGAAATTAACGTCTGGCAAATGCATTTTTCACGACAATAAACGCTCTGTTTTACAAGGCACTTTAATAAAAGAAAATTATTCAATTACCGTATGATAAATTAGCGCTGAAATGGCTTCTAGGATCAATACGAAACGTTTTAACAAATTGCACTTTATATAAGATTTTCAAATGACTTATGTTAACAAATTTGTTTACGTAGAAAGTTTGAAAGCGTAAAATTGAATATCTGTAATTCATTGTTACGAAAAAACAATTAATAAACAAACTGTTAAATTACAGATAAAATTACAAAATAGTTAGATGTCTATAGATTGTTTACAATTCTTCAACGACAGATTACAGTGAAGAGAGAAAGAGAGAGAGAGGGATAGAGGGAATTATATATTTGATTAATACAAATTCTAAATTAAAAAATATTTTCTATAGCCTTGATAATATTACACAAACGTAATTGTAGGCTCTCCCGCGGAAATATAGATGGCAATATTAGCTGTACGTAATTATATTCGATAAAAGACAATTTCACTCCGTTGTAATAGTTTGAAGTGAAATGATTGTTTTTTATTTCTGTAAACATTAAAAAAAGCATAATTATATATTGAGAATAATAATTAATATATTAGAATTATATATCAAATAGAAATATTTTTTTTGATGTATTTTTCGATGAGTGATAGAAATAAATATTATTGTTAACCATGTAAAGAATTTTTTTAACAATTTATTTCATTTCGGATTATAAGGGAAACTGTTTATCCCTACTGATTCGTATAAAGTGTGATACATTGTAAAATTGATATATATTTTACATTTATATGTGAAAACTTTATATCATATTTTTGTGGAGAATAGTACAATGAATCTTACATCAATTATGTTGATTTATGATGTTTTACATAAAGAAAATATGTATGCAATCGTTATTAACGATCTCAGAAACATCTGGATAAAATATCGATTTAAAATGAATGCGATTGAAATAGATAAATTATTTCAAAGAAAGCCTTCAGAACAACTTTATCATATTAATCGTAAAAAGTTGTCATCGGATGGCATAGTCCGTGTGCCTATATTTCTTGAGAAACATATAACTTAAAGAGGTTTATTCAGAAAAGATGGATCTCATATGAGACAAAAAGAATTAATGGCATGCTTGGACAAAGGTTTTCTATTGGGAAAAAAAATTATGTAATCAATGTTGCCAATTGTTTAAAAACATTCTTCAGAGATCTTCCCGAGCCATCAATTCCATAGACATGATTTATTTTTACACTGTGCAGTGTTGAAAAACCACCGTGTTCAACTATTGTTATTGGCTTGTGTATTGTTATCTTCTTATCATTTAAATACTTTAGCGTTTGTAATGGAATTTTTAAAAAAAGTATCTCTCTATGAGAAACAAAACAAAATGAGTATTGATAATTTAGCAAAAGTCATTGGCCCTAATGTTATGCCTTTAAGAGAATCTACTATGATGGCAATTCAAAGCAGACTTGAATTGTATTTAATTATTGTTAAGGTAATATTAAATTTTTTAAAGTCCCAAGTTAAAGTTATACGAAAAAATAAATACATGCTATAAAATATTGATCTTTTTTCTAGATTTTGATAGAAAATGCTGAAAATATTGGAGTTTCACTAGACCGTATAATACATCTTTTTAAAGAGATAAAATCAGAAGATAGAGTGAATCTAAAGTGATAATTTCCCCAGATGCTCGAAAAATAGATATCTTACGATGACGATCACAAGAAAAAATTAAAAAGTAATTATAATATACATAAAATGTATATGTTTTGTATATATATATATATATATATATATATACATATACATATAGGACATATACAAGACAATATATACAGGACATATATATATATATATATATTTCATTGCATACATCTTATGAGTAGCAACGTAAACGTAGAAAAATTGAAAATCGGCTCACAAGTTTTCGCGTATTTGTTGTCATAAGGTCGAAAAAAGTCGTGTCGAGAAAAACTTGTTTAAAGTTTTCGTTGTGTTTTTCTTGATATAAAGAAATATATTTCCTAAAATATTGATACTTACAATAAACTATCGAATTCTGGGTCATATGATGATTCTTCATCAGCATTTCCAATGTCGTCCTTCTCCTTTTTGATTTTTTTATGGATCTTATGTGGTTCTCAGTGTTTTCATCCGTTTAATGTCTCGTTCGATACAGTATAATTGGATTGTCGGTCCAACTTTAATATTCATTAACTCCATAATTTTTAGTATAGCCTGTGCACCTTCGTTGAATGCTATTGTTGAAATAAACAAACCTATTTAAAGCATAATGGAACTATTGAAATTTGATTTCAGTGCTATTTGCCATATTAATGAATTGAAACATTCATTATTATTTCGGGTGAATCCCCCAGCACATCTTTGCAATAATTTTGGATCCAAAAGATCTTCGTATATCGGAAATAAATTTGTAGCAACATCTTCGGAAAGTCCTGGTTTATCGACAAACGATTCCAAGGCATTAGTTGATATAGTTTGTTGAAATTTACACCAGGAATTAGCATCTTCAGGGCAGAGAAAATGTCGTGAATGTTTTAATGATGACGTTTTATGGTAAAAAGTTTACCAAATCCCATTATACATGTCATCAATATCGTTGGAGTTATATCGTATTGTTAATCCATAATAATTGATCAGCTCGGTAATTACTTTATCCTTTAATCGGATTTTCTTTCCCAAGCTATTATTATTTCTCTTAAAAGCCCTGAGTCGATTACCCATTCTTTTTTGCACATTCTTTGATGCATTCTTTTATTTGCAAACGGGATACCCACATAAAACTTTGTATCGTAAATATTTTTATATGTTTTAGTATCACCATCATCAATATAATATATATATTTTATTTTATGCAGTGATCTTGATCTTAAAAACATTTCTTTCATTCCATCGAACTCTATTTTACCTGATGAATTTTCATGGTTAATTAAACATACTTTTGAATGCGTCTGCAGTTATTCATCGTATTCATATAATTCATATATTCATATACGTTTCATATAATTCATTTGTGCGCAGGATCTATAAAAGCTACACTTCATAATGACACTCACAATTTTGCCAATATGAAAACCAATCAGGGACAAAATGCCAAATAAGGATTTGAATCCTTTCTTTTTTCAGCTTCCATTCCCCTACATTATGATTCGAGAAACATCATTTGATGTTGACAAAATTTTATAATTTTCTTCAACTTCTTCTTCTGCAGCCTTGTTGAGAACAATATCATTAAGTTTTTGCTACATTCTTGATCTGTTTCACATACAATCATAAAAACTATGAAATATTGATTGTGGTAAATCCATGAAGGTACAAAATTTTTCTGTACTACATCATAGCCCAACACCAATGAGTCTCATGGCTAATTTTCATATCCATTGTTTATAAGGGAGCATGAATCAATCGACACAGGAATACATTTTTCGCAATTCATCACAAGTTTAAAACCTAATTCTCGAACATTACGTTCAGTAAAATTTATATTACCTCCACAATTTTTATAAGAAACATAATCACGAAGTACAGTAAAAATAGAAATGAAGTTCAAAATTTTATAATTTGTATTTAAATTAACGTCAATCAGTGTCATTTGATATTTTTCTTTTCGAAACATTCATATGCCGTTTGGAATTTTAACCATTTTCAATAACAAATTTACTACGAGGTTGATTATATTTTTTTCCGTTTCGTGTAGCTCTTATTCTAATGCCTTTATTATTTTTTCAATATTAATAATTAACGATGCAGAATCGTATATACAATAAGTAACTTGACGAATAACTGTACAAGGACCAAGGTCTAGAATTTTATACAAAAACCTAGGTCTAGAATTTTATACAGAATCAATATATTGTAAAGTAGGGAAAAACCAGAAATCTCTAATAAAAGATATTTTACAATAGATTAAAGTCTAATTATAATATAATGTACCATCTATTGTGAAATACGCATATAATGTATTATCTATTGTGAATTAGCAAGGGCCTAAGAATCTCAGCGGAACGTCTGGCAGGAACGTCGCGCTACCTGCTCTCACTAAAGTGACTGTAACTCAGTCAATTTTCAGAATTTTAACTTAAAATATTATCTACATACTTTTAAAAATAAATACATACTTTTAAGTATTAAAAAAAAATCCTTTCCAAATTTTCAGTGGTCTTCCTCCTTAACGAAAAAGCAAGTAAAAAACTAAAGAATCATTATATAAGAATGCATGCTAGTACGAGAGAGGATGAAAAAGAAAATGAAAAACGATTATCCATATAAATCACTGTCCATTAATTAGAAGCTATTATAAGAATTCTTGAAGCTTTGGCAAAAATGCAACTAAAATCTTTTGCCACTAAAATTCATATTAATGATGCTATTCAAGTTTCTTTTCAAGATGCTATTCAAGACTATTTCAAGTTTCTACATTAGATGCTGCTATGTCCGGTTCATTAACTGGTACAATAGATGTGTATTTGTGTGTGTAACAAATATCTACTAATTATTAATTAAAAACAAGACAATTCTTTTTATAACATACGTGTCCGTAATATTAATACACCATATTTTACAGGTGCAGAAGAATTTACTTCAGAAGAAGATCATGAGATATGGTCTCGCATTGAAAAACAATTAATAAATAGATTCCCTATTGGAAATCAAGTATCAGAACAAAACATTGTTAATGACTGTCTTAAACAAAAATATCCAGAACGTGCTGTTTACAAAGCTATACACACAATAATTCGTCGTGGAGAGCTTCAACATCGGATGGAACGAAAAATGTTGTAAAGGTTATATTAAAATATAAGAAAAGCTTTCATTGTATAATTATTTTTGTACATTTTGTTCGGTTCTCCATACAATTTACTGTTTCATTTTTTATATATAATACTGTATTTTTAAATTATGTAACAAGAGCAAATCTCGTGCTCATGATATCAACTCATTTTTAAATGGATAAAGTGGGTGCTTTTCAACCCTAAAATAAACATAGGAATGAAAATATATGAAAAAAAATATGTTGTACTCAGGTTATTTTAAATAATGAAATATTGAAAAATTATTACAGTTAAGGTTTATTACTTACCCTTTTAAAAACAGAAAGTTGAATATTCGGCCATCTGTACCTTTGTCTAAACCATTTAAAGTATTCATATCTTCTTCTGTCAAAACAAAATCAAAAATGTTGATATTCGATTTGATTCTATCTTGTGAAGAACTTTTTGGAATAACTATAATTCCTTGTTGTATCAGATGTCGTAGTAATACTTGTGCTGTTGTTTTTTTATATTTATTAGCCATTTCAAGTACAACAGGATGTCCAAGAAGATTAGGAAATTTTTCTAAACTATAATTATATATTCTTTGTAAAACGACTTTAGCTCCAGGTGATGCTAATGAGCTGTAAGCTGTTACAACAATATTGTGTTTTTGACAAAATTCTCTTATCGCTTTCTGTTGATGGTATGCATGTAATTCAATCTATTAAAAAATATATTTACATTGACTGTTCTTTTTGATCATAAAATAATATAGTAAGTTTATGATATCAACAGCATGTATACCTGCAAGTTCGCTGGTTTTATTTGTGCATTTTTATATACTTCTAATATTTGTGCTTCATTAAAATTACTTAAACCTATAGATTTAACACGTCCTTTTGCTACTTGTTTCTCCATTTCCTAAAAATATTAAATAATTATAATATTATTAGGTGCAGCTGGAAAGAGAAGTACTTATATCTATGATATTAATTGCATGTTATACCTTCCATACAGAAACTGGATCCGTGTCTAGGTCAAGTATATAACTACCATCTTCTAAAGCTGCAGGAGCATATGCATTTTTATCTAATACAAAGGCAAATGGCATGTGAATCAGATACATATCCAAATAATCCAAACCAAGGCGTTCTAATGATAATTTAAGAAACTTTTCAACATCTGATGGTCGATTTCCATAATGGGGTAACTACAAAAAATAATACGTTTTTTGATATACTTATTAAAAAATATAAAATTCTCATTCTTTTCATATTTGATTTTTCCTATTACCTTTGACGTAACAAAAAGTTCTTCACGTTTACCACCTTTGTCAAACCAATTTTTTAAACTTTTTCCAATCGCTTCTTCGTTATTATAATTAAATGCAGTATCAATATGTCTGTAACCACACTCCAAAGCAGTCGCAACAGCAGCTTCAATTTCTTCAGGTTTAGCCTTGAAAATGTAATAAATAAGAAGATATATGTAATTTGTAGATAAATAATTATAATGATATATCTTCTATTATTATATTATTTATTTAAAATCTTATTTAGTGAAGTTTCTATTTTATCACCTGCCATGTCCCTAAACCTACAGTAGGCATATTATGACCAGATGATAATTTTACGGAATGCATATTTAGTCTTCTATAGTTTAAATCTGAAAATAATGTTTAGTCATGTTATATAGTTTATAGGAATGTTTGTTGTGTTTTAATTTTCTACAAGATATGACATTTTCAATAGATAATTTCTGATGATATTAATATCAAGCAAATACGCAATTAGTTTTCTAAGTACTACTGATATTTCGGTAGAGAAATATTTTTCCTTATTTTCTCAACATATAGATTGCAAGCAGTATGTGCAAAGTATCAAGTATATATTTATTTCAATGACAAGTATCCAGTAGAAGTTTGCTTTAAGTATAAAGCTATTGAAATTAACATCTGCCAAAGCATTTATCGTGACAATAAACGCACTCTTTTATAAAGCAATTTATTAAAAGAAAATTATTCAATTACCGTATTATGGACTAGTGATGAAATAAACACTTCTATGAGCAATATGAAACGTTTAAACAAATTACGCTTTATATACGATTTTTTGTAAGGTAGCAAAATGGTACAAAAAAGCAGATAGTAAGCGAAATGATAAAATATAGATATTTTCAAGTCAACTATAATTATGTAATTATAGATAAGATTACATATATCTGTTGATTGTTTTAAAATTTTTCAACGATAGATTACAGTGAAGAGAGAAAGAGAGAGAGAGGATTAGAGGGAGTTAAGTATTCTTTTAATACTATCTTTAAATTAAAAAATATATTCTATAGCCTTCTTAATAATATTACAAATACGTAATTGTAGTCTCTCACGTGACAATATAGATGGCACTATTAGCTGTACGTAATAAGTGTATTCGAGTAAAGACAACTTCACTCTATTTGAAAAGTTAGAATTGAAAAATTATTTTTCATTTCTTCAAAGATTAAAAAAATTATAATTATTTATTGCGAGTGATAATTTATATATTGGAATTATATATCAAACAGATATAGTTTTTTTAATATATTTTCCAATGATTGAGAAAAATAAATGTTAATCGTGTGACTATATTCATTTTGAATTATATCGAAAACTGTTTATTCGTATTGGTTCGTACAAAGTGTAGTACAATGTAAAATTGAAATATAATTTTATATTTTTATGTGAAAACTTTATATCATACTTTTGTGGAGAGTAATAAAAGAAATCCTTCATTAAATATGTTGATTTATGACGTTTTACATAAAGAAAAAGTGTATGAAATCGTTATTAACGATCTCAGAAACATTGGGATAAAATATCGCTTTAAAAAGAATGCGATTAAAACAGATAAATTTGAAAAAAGTAAAAATATTTCAAAGAAAGTCTTCAGAACACCTTTATCATATCAACCGTTAGAAGTTGTTAATCTATCATCAGGTGGTATAGTTCATGTGCCTGTATTCGTCAGTCAGGCATCTGCATTTCTTGAGAAACATATAACCCAAGAAGGTTTATTCAGAAAAGCTGGATCTCATATGAGACAAAAAGAATTAATGTCATACTTGGATAAAGGTTCTTTATTGGGAGAAAAAAATCATGCAATCGATGTTGCCAATTGTTTAAAAACATTCTTCAGAGATCTTCCGGAGCCATTAATTCCATATACATATCATGATTTATTTTTACACTGTGCAATGTTGAAAAACCACCGTGTTCAAGCATTGCTATTAGCTTGTGTGTTGTTACCTCCTTATCATTTAAATACTTTAGCATTTGTAATGGAATTTTTAAAAAAAGTATCTCTCTATGAGAAACAGAACAAAATGAGTATTGATAATTTAGCAAAAGTTATTGGCCCTAATATTATGCCTTTAAGAGAAGCTACTATGATGGCAGTTCAAAGTAGACTTGAATTGCATTTAATTATTGTTAAGGTAATATTAAATTTTTTAAAGTCCCAGGTTAAAGTTATACAAAAAAATAAATAAATGCTATAAAGTATTGATCTTTTTTCTAGATTTTGATAGAAAATGCTGAAAATATTGGGGTTTTACCAGACCATATAACACATTTTATTTTATCTGAAGTAATTGGTAGCATTGATAATGAATTGGATTTATCTGATTCGCAACTGCATGGGAAATTGAAGAAAAAGAAATATCGCAGTGGAAGTCTTACGCGTAAGCCACATCTAAGTGCCTCTAACCTGAATCTAAGTATGTCTATATGAACCTAACATATCTATTCTACATAGAAGAATAATTTTTTATTTATCTTTCATCAATTAACAATACTAACCCGCATCCATTTCAATAAAAAACTTTACTAAATTAATTTTGTAAATACATATGTAAATATAACAATATCTTAATTTGAATCTTTGCTAAGATAACTGTGAATTAAATTATATATTGTAGAAATAAATATTGTTTATATAATTTGTATTATGTAATGTAATTTCATATTACATTTTTTATAGGAATGCTCCATGGTTTAAAGAAGATAGTTGGAAAAAGTAATTCACCTATAAATGCAGAAATAAACGAGAATCAAGATTCTATTACTAACTCAAATATGACCTGCACATCATCCATTAAATCTACGAAAAAGCGGAAAGTCATTGAATGGCTAGATCCACAAAGTACTAAAAAAAAGTATGTATAAAAAGAATATAGACAGGTTTTACTGTATAAGTGTAATATATTCTATGATCTTACGTTTTAGGAGGATTAGTGATAAAATAGAAAAATCTAAGAAAACTGGTTTGAATATAGATCGTTTTGTATCAAAAAGTAAACAAGTAAGTATAAATTGATAAATAATACATAATAATATTTTTATTATGCTATAATTTAATCATTTCATTTACCTTGTATCTTTCACATATTTAGGTTTACATACTCTCATTGATGTTTCAGAAGGTAGACTCTAGTTCAAGTATACGTACATTTAATCCTTATACTGATAGACGATGGAGTTTGGCACATAATTCTCCTGTATCATTTGAAAAGCGCAGAACAAATAGTGATGGTTCATTGCATCTAAAAAAATCAATATTAAAGGAAACAGAAACTTCGAATTCTAACAATCATAGCAATTATAGTGATGTATTTGTTGATGCTGATATCAATTTATCAGATTATAATAATGAACAAGTATTGTTAAAAAAGGAAGCCAATAATACTGATATCAATCAATGGCATATTAAATTTAATAATAGTTCAGAGAAATTGAAACATACAAACAAACATTCAGAGCCACCTATAGGAACAGCAGTAACAAAAGATGAATATGAAGAATATGTAAGGATACCAAAGAGTGAATATGAAGAAATAAAAAATAGAGTTTCTGCTATCGAATCTCGTATATCGCAAGAATTTGGATATATTGATGATACAAGAAATGAAAGTTTGATAGAAAATTCTGTAAATAAAGTACAAACAGAGTATGAAAAAACGTTAGAAGAAGCAGGTATAAAAAATATTGTGACAGCCGATCATTTAGCAAAAAAACTTGGAAAAGAGCTAAAAATCAGAAGATCGAGTGAACGTAAAGTGATAAGATCTCCAAGTGCTCGAAAAATAGGAAGCTTACGAAGACGATCACAAGAAAAAATGAAAAGGTAATTATAATATACATAAAATGTATATTTATATGTGTGCATGTGTGTGTGTATATATATATATAATCAGCAGAGAATATCAAATTATTAATAAGAAACATTAACCATAAATTTTTTATTTATAGTAAATGTGTTAGTCGTACCGATTCATGGCATGCGTCTCAAGAGTGGCAACGTAAATGTAGAAATCAGTCCAACGAGCAAGAGATAGTTTGTCTTGCAAATGAAGAATCAGATACAGCTCTCGAGTTAACAAAACAAGTATCAAGTTTGAGGAATGATTCATTGTGCAGTTCAAAGACAAATACAAGATTGGAATTATTACAAAAACAGTTAAATGATTTAATCTCTCATACAACAGAACATACGAGAGATTCGCTAACTGATGATGAATCAATTATAAATGATATCAATATGCATACACCAAAACAAAGTCCATTAAAGTTCTCCGTTCGTAGAGCATCATCTTTTCATGGCAATGAATTTATAAACAATTCATTTTACTTTAATCGAAAAGTCAAAGAATTGAAAAAAACCAATAGCCAACAAAATGTCTTTTTAAATAATGATTATCAAGATAGACAAAACGACGTGTCTCAAAATTGGAAAGAAACATCGATTTCTTGGAAAGATGCGGGTGATTATTTCAAATCTACTGTTCAAATACGTACGCCAGTTCCTCAAACGGGTCGAGCATCTGTTGCTAAACTTAGAACTCAAAATGCTGGTATGGTGTTAGCTAAAGCAAAACTATTTGATGAAAATACAATAAAAGTGTCTACATGTACGTTTGACAATGGTCAAAGTCAAAAAGGTTATGTAGTAAATACAAATAAAAAAGAATTTGCAAAAGAATCTAAAAGTGAAAAAATAAATATTATGAACATAGAAAAGTCATGTTGCGATTTGGAAACTAAACGTAATATTTCAGTACATAAAAGACTTGAAAGACATTCAAGGAATAAAAATTTGACTCAATTCCAGTCACCAAAAATGTCTTTAAGAAATAAGAATAATTCAATGGATATATCATTAGAAATAAATGAAGAAGACTTTGAAAAGCATTATAACAGACGACATTGTGAAAAATATAATCAAAATTTATTAGAGAAAAGTAATAAGTCGCCAATGCAGAAATCGTACTATTTAAATGAACAGAACAATAAAGAATATAAAAAGTGTAGTCCCCAAAAAGAAAATATAGTGGTAAGAACTTCCTCTATATTGAAAAACACATCTACAAATAAAGTAGATGAGGAATCAAATGTGAATATTTATAAGTCTGAAAATGGATTATGTAAAACTCCACATATCAAAAGACCATTAGCTATTAAAACACCTAAAAGTTCTAAATCTCTTGTGAGACGTCCACCGTTAGACACACGTAGAACACCTTTGAAAGCTATTGCACATTTAGAAGTATCAAAATATCAAAGTCCTAAGCGTATTTCGAAACCTAAAAATTTAATGAATGAACATTAAGTACTAAGTCTTCAATAGAAAACTATAATAATGAATGCTTCCAATATGTGGCCATATATATGTGTAAGATTACATCCAGAAAGCTTTGTATTTAGAATTATTTAAAAATCTTGGATTTTGAAAATTTCTAAAAGCTAGTCATCTACAATTGCTATATTGTGAAGGTATTATTACCATGACTAAGTTCAAAATAGATGTATCACACAGTTTATTATATATATAAAAATTTATTTTTTGTAACTGTACGCATAAATATAAACCATAGATATAAGTCTAAATAATTTGTTCTTTTAGGAAATATTTAGTCTTCTTTTATTTATTAACGTAATTTTGTATAATACTGTACTTTTATACTGCATTTACTATTTTGTATATCAATTTTCTGAAAAGTATAAATAAATTGATATAATATAAAGAGAGAAACTGTGTAAATGATGTAAACTTTATATAAATTGTACTTTCATAAAAACATTTCATATTTTATGAAAATAATCTGCGTGGTATAATAACGTACGAAAACGTAATTGCCAAATGACCAATCACATTGCGTTGTTTGTCTTTTATATTTATGACTGTTTATTACTTTCCACTTGTAGCGTATATTACAGGATAATCGATGCTGTATAACTACAGCAACAGGTATGAACAGGATACGAAGTAAAAGTGCAATAGGAAAACACTGTCCTCACCTATTGTATCGGTGCATAAACTTGTGTAGCTTATACCTCTCTCGTAACTTAACAATCGAATTAGTATGTGACAGAAATTTTTGTATATGCCCATGCACAATATACATTGTTCAAATTATTATTAAATTATCAAAAGTAGACATTTTTTAAAGTTAGCCTTATAGGAAGAGGATTGCGAAATTTATTCATTGGAATACAAAAGAAAACTAATTTGATAACTATTAAAGTCAATAAAAAGCTTATTTTTGTTAATATTAGATGAATTGCATTTGATAACGATTGCAAGTTCAAAACTTAATTATATTGGAATATTAAATTAAAATTATTTTATATTTAACGCTTATTATGAGCTATATAGTGTTTAAGCAAATGTACAGACTTCATTATTATAAATTGTTGTTATATAAGTATTAATAACTTGTTATTAAATAAGTATTAATAATAGAATTCACTATAGTGTTATACATATCTTACATGAATGCTGAATAATTGAAGGAATTGTTTATTCTAATCTGTGAATATGAAATAAGAGAACTGTAATGTTTATCGTTTGAGATTCAACGTTAGACTGATTATTTATCATATATCAAAGTCGCTGTAACATTTTTCCTTCTTCGTTATTGTTTATATCATTAACCGGTAACGACAACGAGAATTAAAATTCGTATATTAATGAAAAGTATTAATTATTCAAGCTTGTATGGAAAAAGAGAAATGACACGTTTACTTTTCGAAATATAACTAGTTTATTTTGTTTATAACATATGTCTTCAACGACTTAAACTTGAAAATTTAAAGTGTTTTCTAGATCATGGATAGTGTAGAACTCGTGATTTTTATAAAAACGATATACGAATCTAAATTGTTGCCATTATTCTAAATGCTTCTATTAAAATTCTTAAATTTCTGGTATATAAAATATATAAGGAATTACATATTTTTTTAAAATTGAACAATATCAATATATGGAATGGATCAAGAAAACCTTAGCATTGATTTACGTAAACAGTAGGCATTATTTTATATAGGCATATATTCATATATTTCACGGAACAAACGTATATTAAAGAACAAATGTAATCAGTAGTGGGAGTATGAGCTTCTTTTTATCGCAAAGTTCAAGGGGCGCCACTGTACGAAACGTTTTTTTTTCATGAATAATGTAGAAAGCAGCATGTTTATATCAATAGTGATTGAAAACGTAATTTTTGACCGATTTTGATGAACTAGGTCTCATTTTAAATACGAAGATTTAAACAAGATCATAACTTTTTCGAATTTTTGAAAAAATTTTATCTTTATACATAAACTATTCTTGAAGAAACATGATTTTTGAGACGATTGTTCTTTTTAAAGGAATTAAAGCTTTGTCAAAAATTCGAAAAAGCTATGTCTTCGTTTAAATCTTTATCTTTAAAATGAAACCTTGTTCATTAAAATCGGCCATGAATTACATCTGTATTCATCGTTGGCATAAACCATTATAAAATCAGTACAGTGTGATGTACACCCTTAATGTACTATCAGTTCGAAAACATTTAAAAATATATTATTTCTTTTCAATACTATATTTATATGTTCTATAATTAATATTTGTAATATATAATTATATACAAACGCGCATTAATAAATGTATAATTTGTTTATATTTAAAAAAAATTTGCATTATTTAGAATTAAAATATTATGTATTCTTATAGAAAAATCGTATTTCGTTATAAGGCTTGGTAAAATCTTGTTGCGTGTAAACGTAATATTGGATAGTTGTTAGTAATACCGTTTTGATAACAGCGCCTTGATAGAGTGTACAGCTGTTGAAACTGGTTGAAACGTAAATTTTTAGTGCTTAAGTGTCATTATATCTGTTTTTTTTTTTTTTTGGTAAAAACGTAGCCCTTGGGCTGAAAAATATTACGATTATAAAAATGAGAGAAGCTGGGATAATGTTAATAAGTGCTGCATTAACGTGCGCCGTAATTGGCAATGCTTATTATCAAAGAAAACAATTTTATCCGACGGTAGTCCACATAACCAAATCAAATCCGAGCATGACTGTAAGTTATAAATCTTTTCAATAGTTTTCATAATTTTATTAATAATTATATATTCTTATCCTTTTATAATATTTATTTAGGTAATTTATGCTCAAACGTTGATACTCGTTTTCATGATAAATGCATTCCTTAGGAAGATATTTTTCGGTACTTTACGTGCTGCTGAACTCGAGGTGAATATGGAATATAACTTATGTTTCTTTATCATTTCTATGCAGAATGGGATTAACCATTAAGATGGATTATTATTTCTAGCATTTGGTAGAGAAAGTATGGTATGCAGTAACTGAGACGTGTTTAGCTTTTACAGTGTTTAGGGATGATTTCAGCCCAAAATTTATAGCATTATTTACACTTTTATTATTTCTTAAATCATTTCACTGGTTAGCCGAAGATCGTGTTGATTACGTAAGTATTTTATCTTTTTTATATTTTTTATTTATTATTATATTATTTTTGTGCACATACAATCAAGGATATAAAAGTTTTATTTAGATATTTGATGATATTTAAACATTTATAAAATAATATATAACATCTTGTATATAAAGGAAATTTAATAGTTTGTTTCTGATTTTACAGATGGAAAGAAGTCCAGTGATAACATGGCTATTTCATCTGAGAGTCGTGACTTTATTAGGACTTCTATTTGTCATTAATTTAACAATGATTCATTACGCATATAGTACAACTGCTACAAAAGGTCCTTCAGTACAACTTGTATTTGGATTTGAATATGCGATTTTATTGACTGTTGTAATAAATATTACTGTAAAATATATATTACACACAATAGATTTGCAAAGTGAAAATCCATGGGACAATAAGCCAGTATTTTTATTGTATACAGAATTGGTTATTGGTTTTCTAAAGGTATAGTAAAATATATATCTTCATGTTCTTTTTATTGTATGTAATACTATATAACCTTATTATGTTTACTAGGTCACTTTATATATTGCTTTTGTAACTATAATGATAAAACTGTTTACTCTACCTTTATTTGCACTTCGTCCTATGTATTATACAATGCGTGATTTTAAAAAGGCATTCCATGACATTGTAATGTCACGCAGGGCTATTAGAAATATGAATACACTTTATCCCGATGCAACACCTGAAGAATTAGCAGCTGCTGATAATGTATGCATAATTTGTCGGTAAGTTAATATTACATAATAATTTCTGTATTCTTTAATAACGTATTTTGTTATAAATATATATAAGAAAGTCTTTTACAGAGAAGAAATGGTAGCAGCAAGCAAAAAGTTACCATGTAATCATATTTTTCATACTGCATGCCTTCGTTCTTGGTTTCAACGTCAACAAACTTGTCCAACATGTCGTTTAAATATTTTAAGACCAACTACAATTAATACAGAGACAAGACAACAAAATCCACAGCAAGGTCAACAAGCACCCCAACCTCCTCCAGCAGCAGGATTAAATCCACAAGGTATGTTATAATTTATAATTAATTTTTGTACAGTAAAATGAATGCGCATTGAATATGCATAAATAAAATTGTAATAATATTCATGATGTTATATAGGTCAGGGCTTCCAATTGCCAGGTTTTTGGGCTGGATTGCAAGCTCCAGGTGTGATGCCACAACAACAAGGTCAAAATAATGTTGGAAATGTTCCTTTGACACCATTCCAAAATTTACCAGCCGGAAGTGTACCAATTTTTGCCCCACCATTTCCTCCTATGGTACCATTGCCACCTATTCCTACACCTCCGCCTAATTTAACAGAACTTACTGAAGATGAACTCAGAGCAATGGAGGGCAATTTACGACAAGCAGTAGAAGCAAGAATACAAACATTACAAAGAGTACAACTGTTGTTAGATGCTGCTAATGCTATGATGAACCAATATCAAGCAGCAGCTGCCACTGCTAAGTCAGTATAAATGCAAACTAATTATTATTCCAAAAATATAATAAATATTATATTAGTAATTTTTTTCTACTACCATTTATTAAATAGAGATTAATAGTTAATTCTTTATCATTATTATCAATGCCTTTATTTAATGTTACAGCATCCCTAAGCCTCCTACTGTAACAGAAGAAAATACAAATGCTCCAACAAATATGGCTACAAACCAAGAAAAAGATACATGTCTAGCTAGTAAAAATGAAGGTGAGAGTTCTCGCACTGTAATAAATGCAGATACTTCTGTTCCAGACACAGTTAATGATAAAACAGTTAGTCAATCAAGCACAAGTAATATTGAAATAGCTTCAGAAACATCATCTAGAGCTGAAACAGAACCCATAAGTGAGCAAGAAATGTTAAGGAGACGTAGGCTACAGAAATTTTCAGCTCAGAATACAACAGAATAAGTAGTTCTTAAACTATGTAACAAATTAGTTTTTGATTAATGCCTGTTCTCAATTACAGATATAATGAGTGATTAAAGGATATCTGTTTGAATATAGACTGCAACTATGAAATAAATTATTAAGAGTGGGTAAATAAATATAGAAAAAATTTTATAATTTTGCGATTCCTTGGATGAATGATGTACAATTAAAACCTGTCAGTGTGTTCTTGAATATTAATATATATTATAGGCAGTGATCATTTAATTTTGTCTTGAAATAAACATTTTTTTTATATATAATATCATTTTCTATATTATTATGATTATACACATATACCATACATACATAAAATGTTAATGTACAGATGTGATCACTGCAACAGAATTTCTAACAACTTATTTGGTTTTATTTAATATACATTGATAGTAAAATTGGACAAATACTGATTGAACTATTAAGGCATTTTTTATTCCCACTTTATCTGTTAAATTCATATTATAAACCTAACATATTACTCAGAAGTATACTTTTTCCTATTAATCGAACTGTTTTAACAATTTATAATTCATGGATGTAAATATGTGTAAAAATTGAAACTACTATAAATATTGACACCTGCCTATATAACATGTAGAACTGCTTTATGTATCATCAGGATACATTATTCCTTTATGAAATCTGACACATACATCAAATATTTGTGCAATGTAGCACAATTTGGGTTATAATTACATAGATTGTATAATGGACTATGTATATTTGTTTATATTTTTTCCAATTATGAATATAAAAACATTACTGTATGTTACTATAGTAACTATAGACTAACAATAAGTAATAATATATGTAATAAATTAATTATGTTATGGGTTTCTCTCTACAATATATAATTATTTACATCTAAATGAATAAAATAAAGTATTATGTATATATATGTATTGGAAATTGCGATTTTAATGGAAATTGTTATAACCTTTGTATAACACGTGTGTATACATATATTTGTAATTATTGTGAACATAATTTGGATATTGCGATAACAAGAAATATATTTTTATTTCAAGAATACATTTAATATACTATTGCACAATATTAAATGATTTTCATGATTATTAATGAGAATTTAAGAAACGGTTACGCAAAAGCCCATAGCTGTTGTACATTGAACTTTATTGATCCGACAATATGCTACGTTGGATACGCTTATAACCTATTCTTATATGTCCAAAGATTCAATATTTATGTTAATATACGAGCACTAAAATAATAGATTTATTCGTTTCTTAACAAACGAAAAAATATTTTAACTAACAATATTATCATTTTCATTTGATAAGAGACAGTATACACATATGTACATACACACATAAATACAATGTGCTATACTATTAAATCTATGAATTTGCACATTTAGTATTACAAATATAATGTAGTAAAACAAATATAACAAGTCAATCAGTTTAAATATCAGGATTATTGCTTTATTTGCGGAAAAAATTATTTACTAAGTTAATTTTCTTCTTCGACAATACATATATATATATATATACACATACATATACGTATATTTTCATAGATAATATAAACAATACATTGTTACATACTAATTGTAACCGTGATATGTAATTATTCATATACTTGAACGTTTCATTAAATATACATATGAATGTTTTCTTTTAACAGTATTGCAGTTATTACGACATTAATATTTACGTAAATACGTATAAATATTTATCGCAATCTAATAATAATGTTTAGTATATTGTTTTAAAACTCGTCTTAAGTATCATGTGCTTGGTTACATAAAATGAATAATATGTATTAAATGAGTACATGAAATGAAGGATATTTTTTGAAAAAAATTGACATTTGGACAGAGGATAGTAGTTTCAACCCTTTCTACTGATTATTCAATGAAATTAATAGTGTATCGAGACATTTATAATTTCATGTATCTTTGATAAAACGAAATTTTGGCTTTTTAAAAATAATAATTTCTTTGTATGTATTAAAAAAAAGAAAAGAAAAAGAAAAAATAAAAGGCGTAAAACGCATAAATTCGTAGTTTAATGAAAAACAAAATGTATTTCGATTGAACGAAAAATAATACAGAAAGTAAAATTGTATTATGCGCCAGAGTCCTTGGGATATACACGGTGAACCCCGTGGCGCGTTGTTGTGATCTAACATGGCGGAATGTAGTGTTGTGGATGTTCGATGTCTATGTCAATTTTAGAGTGATCTCGCGCAAATAATACGGAAGAACGGCGATGCTCCGTAGTTACAGCATTGAAAGAATTCGTGTAAGATAATCGTGTGATTGGAAATATTTACATCGTAAGTGACGAGCGAGTTCTTCTATATCGGTTTTGCTCATCGCGGGAATCGTATACAGGCGGCAAGAGCGCACACAGGGCTTCGGCTTCCCTGGCACAACGTTTCTTTCTGACCTTCCACGACGACGAACTTATTTCAAATGAACGACCTGAAATACGCTTGACATTTTCTAGCTTTACGGGACTGTGACACGTGCACGGAAGAGCGTGTACTCCACTAACTTTTCCCGCGCGTCCCAAAAGTTTTACTGTTGGCGCAGGTATCAAGCTTATGCAACTGAAGAGCTTATAAACATCCAGCAACGGTAAACAATCTCATTGTTCCGAGTATACATCGGAATAAAGGTACCGCTTCGTGATAATCCGTAATAAAATTCGACTAATGCACGGTCGTTTTTAAACCGTCGTTAATATCTTCATGAAATAGCAATTCCATGTATTTGTGCAGAGAACAAGAGGATATTCGTAATTTTGGAAATCGTTAACAATTGTTATTCATTATTAATATAAATCAAAGTGCATCACTCATGGTGATATATGAGTATTTTCTACTCATTGGTATTAGTATTGTAGTTTCTTGGAGACCACCCAAAGAGAGTATTGAGTTTAGATGAATGAGCGGTTACTCCGAAAGACATTTTTCAAATAAGTTAAGACTTCTGACTCTACGGCATTATATACAACAGCATTGTGCTATATCTTAGTGGATTATGAGAGAACAAATAAAAGTTTGGTAGATATAGATTTTTGTGTGTGAATTTATTTAATAGAAATTTTATAAGAACAGAAAGGCCAAGGAATTTTTTCAACTTCTAAGGCATGCAAGGTAGTTGGTGATAATACAAAAACAGCTGCGTAAAATATTTTTGACAACATGACGGACACACGCAGAAGAGTAAAGCTTTATGCACTTAATGCTGATAGACAATGGGACGATCGTGGTACTGGTCATGTTTCTTCTTCCTATGTAGATAGATTAAAAGGAATTTCACTTTTGGTTAGAGCCGAAAGTGATGGAACGGTCTTATTGGAAAGTAAAATACATCCGGATACTGCATATCAGAAGCAGCAAGTAATTATATATTCATTACATTGTATAATTATACAATATAATTCTTGCATTTATATTTTTTAGCATGTATGTATATGAAATTTATAAAAATAAATATTATTTTATGGATATAGTATTAGCAATTATAAGACTGTAAATAATCATATTTATATTATTTGATGAATTTAAATAATTTTAAGGAATGCATTAATTATTTTCAAATATGCATGTATAGTACGATACTGTTATAAGAGACGAAGTTAAAATATTTACATATGTATGATTACAGGATACTTTGATAGTATGGTCAGAGGGTGATAATTTTGACTTAGCCCTAAGTTTTCAAGAAAAGGCTGGTTGTGATGAAATTTGGGAAAAAATATGTCAAGTTCAAGGAAAGGATCCATCAGTAGAAATTACACAAGATATTGTTGAAGAGTCAGAAGATGAACGCTTTGATGATATGTCAGATGCTGCACCGCCCATAGAACTGCCTCCATGCGAATTAAGCCGATTAGAAGAAATTAATGAATTAATAGGGAATTCTTTGGCTTCTCCAATGAGAAAAGAAAAACTCGCTGTTGCATTAGAATCAGAAGGTTATATCAAGAAACTTTTAAATTTGTTCCACACTTGTGAAGACTTAGAAAATATTAAAGGCTTACATCACCTTTATGATATTTTTAAAAATATTTTCTTACTAAACAAAAATGCACTATTTGAAGTGATGTTCAGTGACGACACAATTTTTGATGTTGTTGGATGTCTTGAATATGAACCAACATTGCCTCAACCAAAAAGACATAGAGAATATCTTCGGCAATTAGCAAGATTTAAACAAGCAATTCCAATTACAAATGCTGAATTATTAGCTAAAATTCATCAAACATATAGAGTTCAATATATACAAGATGTTGTTTTACCAACTCCTAGTGTATTTGAAGACAACATGCTTAGTACATTGAGTAGTTTTATATTTTTTAATAAAGTTGAAATAGTAACTCTTATACAAGATGATGAAAAATTTCTGACTGAATTATTTCGTCAATTTACGGACGAATCGACATCAGATAGTAAAAGACGTGACATGGTTCTTTTCTTAAAAGAATTTTGCAACTTTTCTCAAAATCTTCAACCACAGGGCAAGGAATCATTCTATAAAAATTTAACAGCATTGGGCATATTACCTGCTTTAGAAATAACATTGGCAATAAATGATCCGCAAACAAAAACTGCGAGCATTGATATATTGACGTATATTGTGGAATATTCTCCTAGCGTTGTGAGAGATTATACATTACAACAAATAAATAATACAGAACAGGACCAAATGTTAGTCAATGTAATAGTCGCTCAACTTGTTGGAGATAGCGATCCTGAATTGGGTGGAGCAGTACAGTTAGCTGGTGTGTTACGCCTGCTTCTTGATCCAGAAAATATGTTGGCTTCAGTCAACAAATCAGAAAAGACTGATTTCTTGAATTATTTCTATAAAAATAGTATTGGAACACTGATAGCTCCTTTATTAGCTAATACAATTGGGGAACGACCAGCAAGAGAAGATTATAGAACAGTGCAACTTTTAGGATTGATTTTAGAGTTATTATCTTTTTGTGTAGAACATCATACATACCACGTTAAAAATTGCATTTTAAATAAGGATTTACTTAGAAGAATATTGGTTTTAATGAAGTCAACGCATACATTCTTAGTACTGTGCGCTTTAAGGTTTATGAGAAAAATTATAGCTCTGAAAGATGAATTTTATAATAGGTATATAATAAAAGGAAATTTATTTGCACCTGTATTTGATGCATTTGTAAGGAACAACGGTAGATACAATTTATTAGATTCTGCTATTTTGGAAATGTTTGAATTTATTAAATTGGTAAGTTATAACTATATAAAAACTTTGAACTTTACTTTTTAAAATATTTTCGTATAGTGATTTTATATTTAATACATATACGTATATGTATGTATATATGTATCTTTTACATTACAGGAAGACATCAAATCACTTTGTTCACATGTTGTAGAAAATTTTTCGAAAGAATTGGAAGCAATTGACTATGTACAAACATTCAAAGCATTAAAGCTGAGGTATGAACAACATCAGGATAAATTAAAGGATCGTGACAGAACAACACTCGACAGGTACATGTATTCAAGGTGCAATATATTTTATTTTACAAGAATTTGCTTGTGGATTAAACATTCCTTGCTTCCTAACATGGCACAAATTCTTGTACACCATAGATTGTTACTTAGTGCCGACTTACAATTGAATTTACTTACACATTGAATGTCGGACCAATTTTATATAATTTTACCACGACGTTGGAATGAAATCATTGTTATTGTTTTGTTATGGTATCATCGGTCACCGATGATCCCCATGGCTTCGCTCCATTGGCAAATAGAGTGCCGGTCACCGGTGACCTCTATGTCATTTAACGTGTTAAAAATATTTTAACAATATTTATTTACATGTTTAGTGTTCCATCAATATTAAGAAATAGCCGGTATCGAAGAGATCAGAGACAATTAGATGAAGAAGAAGAAATATGGTTTAGAGAGGAAGAAGATTTTGATGAAGGAGAAGCAGTGGTACCTGCGGCCACGGCAGATTTGGTACCACCTGCTTCAGCTAAAAAACAATCTTCATCTTCTAATTCTGCCCTTGGGCCTTCCCTTACAGAGTCGAAAAATCATCAGCAACAACAACAACAACAATCTGTATTAAACAATAATACAGCAAATAATAATATCACTCCTCAGCAAACTCAAGTCAATAATAGTACATCAACAACGAATGAAAATCCAGTTACACCTGAGATTACTCCTAGTTCTACTATTGGTACCGTAGAAAAGGCAGGAATTATAATTAGAAAAGTAATTAAACTGTTTTAAGATAATCAGACAAAATTTTATATATAAATATTTATGAACATTTTATAATATATAAACAATTAACTTTATAGGGATTGGTCGATTATGAAGAAGATTCTGATGAAGAAGATGAGGATTCTGGATTAAGTCCTTCGCCAAAACGGCAACGATTGTCGTGGTAGACATTCTCGAAATTCAAAATAAATGTGCGATCTCCAAAGTTTTTAGTAAAATACGGCCCCTATTATGTGCACAAAATGCTGATCGAAAGGTTATACAATCTATTAATTTACAATGAGAAGGGTACAGGTTGTACTTTATTCATCCTGAGTGATAAACGCAATGAATAAGTGCTTTTGAAACACAATGCGTGATGAACTTTTACATCTTTTTCTTTCTTTAATTGTGTATATTAAACAAAGAAATGAATGTGAGAAGAAAGTGATTGGAAATAGTATAGAAAAAAAAAGGAAAAAAAAAAAAAAAATAAAGAAAAAACATATTGGACAACGGGATCGACAAACACAAGTGAAGGTAAAGCCAAAATAATTGTATTATCATATTGACGAAATATTGGAAGTTCACTCAATGAATTAAATGAATTTAAAAAGGATTAATGATTTATTCCACTTATCTGGAAATCTACGTAGTAGGGAAAATTTTCACAGATAAGGTGAAAAACTCTAGACCTGGTGAGTTCTATAGACATTAATGTCTAAGTATACACTTTGGTCTAGGTCTATAAATCTAAAAACTGTGACTATATGACATGTATGAGTCCATCGAAAAGGAACTTACTACAAGATGTGTAAAGACCATTTTCGCATGTAAAAGTACATGATCTACCGCACAAAAACAGTTGTGTTTTTGATTAGCCATCCACGAATTGAATTAGTGGGACAAGCGATTGAAATCTGTTTTTGCAAAGGTCAGATACCATGAATCTTTATCCAATTCGACGGAAATAATATTTAGTTTGTATATATATGTATATTTGTAACGATTGTAAAACGACCACATACTTGGATTAAGCAGAAAATATGCGACTACTTCACAATCTCAGTTTCCTTCAAAATACATTTGAAGAGTTTTTTGGTTATCAATGTAAGTAGTAGAAGTTGTACAATAAATATTTGATTTGTGTATATTTATCAGTTTGCACTTCATGCCCGATAGCAATCCTCGATATAAAAAGTATGTTTTAAAAAATATTTAATGAATCTTGAATATTAAGTGTAGTATAGTATCTTTTTTACAAATCTTTTTTTTAATCGTAAGGGCAAAATGAGAAGCCTGGAATAATCTCTGTGCACTGAAAAAAGATTGTCTAATTTATGAAAATATTCATATCTACTTACATTATTTTATGTAGTAGAGCCATGAGATGAGAATAATCTCGGATATTGCAATACGAAATCTTAATTTTTGTTTAAATTGAGATTCTGTATGTCATGAAATTACAGGAAATGCCAGCTCCAGAAAAGAGTGTCTACTTTCTAGTTTAATCCGTAATTTTTAACATAGTTAAGATCTATAGCGAAGAGAAATCTATTACTTTGAATAATCATTTAACTAGAGCAGGCCTTATACAGTGACCAATTTGAAATAAATTATTGCCTTACACTGATTGAGTTGACTTTATAACAAAGTATTATAAGCTAATGTACAGAGTTTTCGATACGTCTAACACAAAAGAATTTTCAAGACTGTTGTATAATTGTAAGTATGAACATTTGAAATTTTTGTGATGTCGTAAGAACATTCGTATGCACATATTAACAAACTTTAACAAACAGACGCATATATTAACTTATGATACTACAAAAGGTGATAGAAGTTAATTCACTCATGAGATTAGTATATTGTGAATATTTCAAGTAGGCAAATTCGCTGGAGCTGAGTAATGTATGTATATATAAAATGTTGTTAATTCTGAAATGACCACAGAATATGTAACTGAATATATTAATTAGGTAATTAAGTAACAGAATATCGAGTAATGTATTTCGTGTGTTTTGCATATATTCACAATTTATTCCATAATAAGAAAGAGATATTCTTAGGCATAGAATGCTACATTGGGTGCGGCGAATGTAAGTAAATGAAAGGAATGAATTAATACCTAAGTGATACTAAAGTAAAGATGCAATCATATGCTATTTAAATTATACTCAATGTATTTTTGTACAGAGTGTTTTAGGCTTTGTCGCTATCATTTTCCATTATTTTTTTAAATGCTTGCCATCAAGAGAAGTCAGAATATCTTTGTGGCATATTTCTAGTAAATAGTTTGATATACATTTTTTTTCTCTTTATTGTATCATACTCTCTAAGAATGTATTATTGAATAATCATAATAGAGAGGATATATTATATATATGGAGAGAGAAGAGGGCAAATATGGATAGAAGAGGGCAAAGAGGGAATAAGGGGATGTAAAATTAAGTGCAGTAAAATTCCTATACTTTATTAGGAAGAAATTATCGTTAGACCGTCCTAAGTTCGAATATTATTTTATTTCCAAGAGTACTATATGTTTACTCATCATTTCAACAAGAACGAAGATAAAAATTAAAAAAAAAAAAAAAAAAAAAAAAAAAGAAAAAAAAGAAAAAAAAGAAAAAAAGAAAAAAAAGAAAAATAATAATACATAAAAACATTCGTAGATCGTTATCTACGAAAAAATCGTGAAACGTCACAGAACTTTAATCATATCGTAAAACGTTACGCAGGACATTCGTTAGGAGAATTAAGTTGTAAATATGTGAAAAAAAAGAAAAGAAAACAAATGCAGCACTTCCAGGGGCACTCTTAAAAATTTCATTTAATCGAAAAATCTAAAACATTTTGTCCGGCAGTTTATTACCAAGATTGCTGTATTCAATGTTACATAGTCATTACATTGTAACATTAATTAAAGAACGGAAATTTACACATTGTACAATACCACACGTGCTAATAATAATAATATTGATATAATATTAATGATAACGTGCGTTTTACATTTAAAATACCAACAGAATGTGACATTTTTGTTCTCTGACATATGTAGCCACATACAAACACACAAACGCGAAAAATCACACGTTTTTTATAAGAAAATGAAGTTCATCAATTCTGTAAGTTAATGAGCAGTTATAAAAAAAAATCAGTGTGCATGACAATGATAAATATGTGAATGGACTACAAACGAAAGATCATATTTTGCATTTTATTCTGTCGGAGAATGAATGATGTGAAGATTAGATTAACTAAGCCGAATATTATATAGGCAGAATAAGTAGCATATAACAAGCAACATTGAATGGAAGAAAAGCTTACAATAGATGCAATGAATACATTGCATTATTTAAATGAGAAAAAAAAGAGTATCTTTATAAAAGTCGATTAATTCAAGTTATTTTATTTGATGTCTATTAATAACGAAATTTATCGACCTTTACAAGGATTTCTAATAATTTACTTTTAATGTTAATCAAATGTAACTTTACTCTTATTGCTTTCCGTGATCTATAATGTGTGTTAGACGTAGTATCGTTTTCATTTTTGTCCTTTTTTGTTTTTCCTTTCTTTTGTTCTTTTCCTTTTTTTTTTCTTTTTTTTTTTTTTATCATTATTATTGATATATGTCAGAAATATTATCATCGTGTTAAATGTGTATTTAATATGTACATATTGTTACAGTAATTAATAATTACAGAATTACACATTAGAGTACTTATTGCTTGTTTTTTGCTACCGATCTGTCTTATTCAATATTAAAGTTGGTCGTAAAGGTGAAAATGATGGTGTGACTGACGCAAAATATGTGTGGTGTAGAAGTGCGAACAATATTTAATTAAATAAAATTAAAAATTTAGACAAAAGCGTCTATTAGATAGAGTTACAGACCCTACCTTAAAAAGCGTACTCGCAAAATTGTTATTTCGAATCGGGCGCAATCGGCGAATTAAATAGCATTATCTTTATTATTATCAATTTACTCGTAAAAAAACGTTTTATATTTCGTCATTATCTTTACCTTCTCTTCAGTGAAACACATAATCTTAGCTCATATTTTGTAACACCATTGTAAATATTAATCTGGCTAATTGAAAAAAACAAAAAAGAAAACATGTCGATCGTATATGATCATGTAGGCAATAATTACAAATTTTATTCTTCGAGATAAACGATTGAACAATTTTATTTATATCGCTAAAGGGAACGAGATACTGAGGAATGAAGTAGTATGCATAGTATTTATGTAATTTATGAGCAATCCAAGTATTATATTTGAAACAAGTTAGGCATTTATATACAAATAAAACCTTTCATAATACGAATAAACTGAAACAACATGTTTGCGTATAACTACGTCTTATATTTTTTCGTTTGAATGGTGAAAAAGCTCATAGAAAAGAAAAAAGATAGAAAAAAAGGTTTTAATATTTAAATTTAAAAAGAGACGGAAGAAGACGAAACATATCGTCTTACGAGTATTAATCAATCAATCAATCAATCAATCAATCAATTTGCCCGGATTACGATCAATGGAACATACGTATAATAATGATAAATATATTATTATATATTCACTTCACTTGTGCACAACTTCGGCCTTCAATCGTGCCGCTAAAGCTTTACGTACTTGAAGAATTGACGGTTCCAATGACTGACCAATGTCTAATTCCTGCTCTCCTTTTATCGTTGCATCTGCAACTACTCGAGCAGAACTCGGACGCGTTGCATTCATTTCGAGCCGCTGACTACGTACTTCTTTCTTTAGGGCTACCAATTCGTCTCGTCTTGCTTTTAGATAGTCTTGCCGTCTTTTTATATCTTCTTCTTTCGTCTGAAAATACCTAAACGTTATTCCATATCTACGCGAGTATAAAATTACATCGATTTTAAAAAATTTTTACATCTATATATATATATATATATATATATATATATATATAAGGTGTTTTATAATTGATAATACAAGCGAAAAGGAGGTGATTGTAAGTACATGGAAGAATAAGTCGAAAATATAAATTAACGTTTTTCTTTTGTTTCATATGAGGCTTAGTTTTCGAAAAGATCGACTTTGAAAACTCATTGGGTCGTGACGTGCGTATATAATTACGAATAAAATATAATTCATCGTGTTTGTAAACAGTTCTCTGCGACTTCTTCCAATATGTGATCATAATCAGTTTTCGTTGATCCATCAGAACGGTGACATATGTGTTGCTCGGTCTATCTGTCGGTGAGTCATAGCTTGCAATTAGTCGTAATTTCGTATGCACGCACTGCATTTAAAAAAATTCGATTTTACCGAAAACGAAGCCTCCTATGAAACAATATTCATTTTCGACTTTTTTTTTTACAAAATCACTTTTTTCCACTTATACTATCAGTTCCGAGACATCCTGTGTATATATATATATTGGATTGGCAACTAGGTGATTGCCGGATTTCAAATAAGAAGGAAACGACGAAATCCGCAATCACTTAGTTGCCAACCCAATATATATATATATATGTATATATATGTGTATATATATATTTATATATATATGTATATATATATATATGTATATATATATATATAATTATATATATACATATGTAATTATATATATACATTGTTCCGAACTCGTTCCATTTTTGTTGAAGATATCGGTTCAAGTGGTTGAAATGTTTTCAATGGCGGCAATTTTTCTAATTTTTCAATTTGAGCTTTGATATTCTCATGAGTAGTATTTGTCTCTGGTTCGAGAGAAGAATTTTCAGAAGATCGTGTCGTAGCCCTCAAAGCTTCTTTCATCAATGTCTTCTCATTACGATATTCATTAGCAAGACGTTCGTGTTCTTCAACAAGAGAAGTTTCCGTAGGTATCGCTTGTTCTTCCTTTTGATTCTCCATAATATGTTTACTACGAAAACAAACCTGTTAACTGTTTTTTCTTTTTTATTATTATTATTATTATTATTATTATTATTATTATTATTATTATTATTATTATTATTATTATTATTATTATTATTATTATTATTATATTATTATTATTATTATTATTATTATTATTATTATTATTATTATTATTATTATTATTATTATTATTATTATTATTATTATTATTATTATTATTATTATTATTATTATTATTATTATTATTATTATTATTATTATTATTATTATTATTATTATTATTATTATTATTATTATTATTATCATTACTATTATTATTATTATTATTTTTGTTATTGTTATTATTATTGTTATTATGATTGAAAAGGAAAATCTTGAACGTCATTTTTAACACGGAAAGTTAACTCACTTAATTAACTCCTCCATTACTAATTCCTCGTCCTGCAAACCTTCTGTTTCGTACATAAGAGAAGCTGGAGTTAGGCCAAATTTTTGTTCTATCATGTTCAATGCCTGCAATTGCAACTCTAAATTCTTTTGTATCATCATCCTTTTAAAGATTTCGTACTCGTTTGCCGCCCATATTTGTTCGAATAAACTCTGAAACGTTAAATTGTAAAATTTACGATTGATTATTTTTTGACAATTGCTTATTATATATTTTTTTTTACGTTTCACTAACTTGTTGAAATTGTATCGGCATTTTTGTATTTTTGTTAATGTTACATGCGTATTCAAATTGTTCCGGTGTTATACCCATATCCTCCATGAAACATCCGAGTAAGAGATCTACCAAATTTTTATATTCCTGATATATTTTACGATACTCTTCATTGTTATCTTCCTCGTTTGCTTCGAAGACTATAAAAGTGAATTATTGTTTCATAATTTTGCGTATTGATATATATCATGATGATAACTATTCTTTCTTTTTCTTTTTATTTATTTATTTTTTGATTATATAATTGTTATAACATATATAGTAACACGTACTCAATGATTTTTCTTCTATGAAGGTCAGCAATGGTGCAGACCAAATTGGGCCTTGCAAAAATCCAACTAATGAATCGAAGACCCATGCACAATCTTCCTTGTCATTCATATTAATTTTATTGATAACGTAAAATATGTAATGCTTTTGACGATCGTCTATCCTTTTTTTCTTCTCCACAAGAGAATTTGAGCTAAACTATTCGCGTGTTCCATAAATTGTAGTCATAGCTACGGTGTACAAAACAGAATTGCTTTTACAAGCCTGCGCTAGACCACCGATATTTTAAGTTTAATATATAGAAATTTATATACATGTATGTATTATACATATATACACATATGATATGATAATAATGTTCCAAGATTTATGTATGTTATTTCTAATAACACACACACATATATATATGTGTATATATATATATATTTACGCTATAAGTACTATTCAATTACTTTTTTATAATTAATTACATCGTAGCATAGATATTTTGTTTCCCTTTTTTTTAAAAAATGAATTAAATAAGACGTAAATCAAATTACACTATGATAATTTTTAAGAAAATCTTACTACCAACTTTAAATGTTTTTTATTTCAGCATAGAGGCATGATATATCGTGATAAGATTAAGTAGAGTTGCTCGATCGGTAAACCGGACTGCAAATGTATCAACGTGAAAGAAGTTAGTTTTGAGGTTATATATTAAATTGTTATTGATATTCAAAATGTCGAAGGCAGGGAAAATGAAAACAATTAAAAAAATAATGGAGAAAGTAGATCATTCTTCTAAATTACGTACGGATATACCTGCAGGAATGGCGAAGCCAAGCCCACCATTAGGTCCTATGCTTGGACAGGTTAGAATAGAAGTTTTTAATTTATTCTTTCTTTTTTTTTTACAGTTGTATACAGTTTGTGAATGGTTTATACTAATTTAATATCTTTTATATTTTTAGAGAAATATCAATATTCCTAATTTCTGTAAAGATTTTAATGAAAAGACGCAGCATATCAAAGAAGGAATTCCATTACCGTGTAGAGTCAGTGTAAATGCTGATAGAAGTTACAATCTAGTCATACATAAACCACCAACCACTTATTTTTTAAAACAAGCAGCTGGAATACAAGTAGCAAAAATGGAGAAAGGTATAAAATATTAATGTCAGTAGTTCATAAAGAGATATATAAAGTAATAACTTGTTAAAGGTAAAATATTATTAATTAGTTAGTATGTTATGTTTTATTTTTTTGTTACAGGCGAAGTAGCAGGCAAGATAACTCTAAAACATTTGTACGAAATTGCGAAAATAAAATCGGAAGATCCCCCATTAGCGTTAATGTCTTTAGAACAAATCTGTATAATGATAGTCGGAATAGCTAGAACTTGTGGCATCGAGATAGTACGAGAACTAGATCCACAAGAATATGCAGAATTTTTGGAAGAAAGAGAACTAAAGGTTATAGAACGTAAAAAAGAACTCCAATTGGCTAAGGAAACTAAATTACTTAGAACAGTATAAAAAATATTGTTTTGCAAAAGAGTAAATATAAACATTTATATATAATGGAACATTATATGTTTGCATTATATTTCGTTATCCTGTAACAATTTCATCGTATACATAAAACATTAACTGTACATTACAGTTTTTTTATGTAACAAAACAGTTATAACAAGTAGTAGAAAATTTGACTGAGTAATAATGAACGATTACCTCGTTTCAGTAGAAAAAAAACAAAAAGAAATAAAATAAAACAAATAAAATATATGATAATCTTTATATTGCAAATAAGAGAATTGATGTTATTACACGAATCCTTTTTATCTTCGGACAAAACAAATGCTATTAATCGAGAAATCATCAGAATCATAGCGATATTATTATCGACATAGAACATGTGTTGTTGGTTTATTTATATATGTACAGTAGTAGTAGATCCCGAGTATAATGCGAGTTCCTACAACGCGCTAAAAATATTTATTGGGACGATATTCTTCTGTTTCATAATTGTTTTATTTTTTTTTCCCAAATGTATAACACAATTTCCTATAACGTGATTTGATACAACGCGGGAACGTATTAATTGCGTTGATGGTGGGTTTGTTGTATATAGAATTACAAATTGTTAAGTGAAGAATCTTAATAAATTTAACATCCCGCCGATAGATGGTAGTGTAAGTTGAGTCGACGCTCGCGCCTGTACGATCGATGACAGCTTGGAGGCCGGGAGTCGGGTAGCGTTCGGCAAGAGCTTTTCTTCGAGTCGAAAAAGAAATTTCGTGGACGTGAACATAATACGTACGTATTTAT